TATAAATTGCTCATTTGCCTCTGGACACAAAAAAATATCGCACTGGTGTTTGAAATAACATCTGTGCAAAATAATCCTTGAAAGATTTCTCCTTTAAGGCCATTCCTGTTTGGAATATGTGATTGTGTATTGTCAACAATAAGCAGAAGCATTCTGCATTTCCAAGTGTGGATCATTTCAACATGTCCTCATTCCCATATTTAAGAATCTGTTATCTGCTTGACAAATAATTTATGCTACTGCCCACTGACATGCTTTTAAAGCTATTGTTATCTCATTTTTATGACCTTCAAACACCTTAAAATGCACACATGTAGGTCTGAGAAATGCTAATTTTCTCAGGGGATATAATGCCCATGAACCCCCCTAACTACCTCACATTTGAATGTGCGTGACTGCCAGCTAGGGATGTTTTTTTCTTAGCCAGTCTGTCCCCTGCATATAGGCCTGCAATATACATTATTCTCTGTATCGAAACATGTAATCTTATGTCTATCTCTATCATTTTTGGGTATCAATCCATCTGTCTGGCTGTCGCTTTCAGATAGGGTATCTATCTATATTTATCATTTTAGGGTAACTATCAATCTGTTTGTCTGTTGCTTCTATCAATCAATCAATCAATCTATCTATCTATCTATCTATCTATCTATCTATTCATCCATCCATCCATCCATCTGGCACTTTCAGATAGGGTAGGGTATCTAGCTATCTATCCTTTTTGGGTATCCATATATCCATCCATCTGTACCTCTATCACTTTCAGTCTCTCTATCTATCTCTCTATCTATCTATCATTTTAGGGTATCTATCTATCCATCTGTCTCTGCCACTTTCAGATAGGGTATCTATCTTTAGGGGAGTATCTATCCATCTGTTTGTCGCTTTCAGATAGGCTATCTGTCTGTCTGTCTCTCTTTTTAGATAGGGTATTTATCCATCTAAAACATAAATATATCTGCCAAAGCAGCACTGCCCCCTCTTCTACCCATTCCTCTAGTTGTTGTACTGTAGGTCCCAGGTGTTTCGAACACATTCACAATCCGAGCAGTAAGAGTGTCGCTCTTCCCTCACTGGTGCTGTAGGGCTTTGGACCGAGCCACAGCAGGGGAATCCACCATATGGTTCTGGCAGAACCAATCCATTTCCTCTAGGGCTGTTGCATTTCACAAAGCCCTCGTATGCTAAGTGCACACAGAGCTGGTATTGATACAGGGCAAGAGCCAAACATATCAGATGCAAAGCGGGGAAGAATTTAAAAAAAAAAAACTTGTTAAAATGGGCCACAATGCAGGACGCTAAGTGCTCTCAGGCTCAGCTGGATCTTCTAAATGACTCTTCTTCCCCAGACCGATTCCAGCCAACTACGCTCGCTCGTGCGTCAATAATTCTGTTGTACTCGAGGCTCAGACACAATTGAAAGCCTGTAGCGACCTCTTGTGGTAAAATTTGTAACATTTTAACCCACATGTTCTGATAGTGTTATGAATGGAGTCTGAGACCGTGTAAAATAGGCTAATAATAATGTTTAATTTCCATTTCTAATACTTTTAGTTCAAAATAAGATATTATAAGCTTTTATCACAAAGTAGACATGGACTTTTGAAAAAAATGAATTTTTTCTCCAATCATGTTTTCATGTCAAAAATGCCATGTTAGCATGTGAAAATGTATTGCATTTATTCATATTTTACATCTGGGGTCTCTGAGAACCCAAATGTATGGGACATTTTCATGAAGGAAACTACACAACACATTGCTAACAGTGATCGCGCGTGCGCTCTGTTTCTGACGTACTTAACATTTGCTAGGCGGGGGAGATTGATGCACTGGACCGGAGTCGGGGGACTAGTTACGTCTTTGTGGAGTAGTATTACGAATTAATGTTTTTTAAAATAGTTTTAGTAAAAAAAATAATAACTTATAACCCTATGGATGAGTGGCGACAGCGAGCTAATGCTGGACCAATATTGATCCTCGTCCAGCCTTCTATTTTGCCACTCTCCCTTTTTCTCTTTCTACTGTCCTCTGACAAAATCTTTGGCTTCTTGGTTTTACTTGCTGCTTCAGCCATTGGGCGGGAAGCTGACGTATGCCGTATAGCAGTCGAATTTTGTAGTTCTTTTTGTGCTCGGGTTCCTACCCGCTCCGCGAAGTTACATAGTGCCAGTAATAGAGATACAAACACTGTCAGGCTATTCGGTTGTTAAGTCTGACGTCACGCGTGTCGTTTAGCCTCTTCCGGGTCCAAGCGCTCCGCTCGTCCATATCTAATTAACGTTACAACCCATAACGTTAGACTAAGCCCTTTTCTTAAAGGACTGGCTTCGCTTCAGCGCCAGTGGGTGTTAGGGATAAAGGAAAGAATTGTAACTTACCTTATCAACTGCAGCCATTTTCTCTTTTCTTTCTCGTCACAGGGAAAGCGGTAGAATGACAGTTGAATGTCACTTGTTTTTTTTAACTCCGATCTATTTAAACAACATGGGACACAGCACTGCGGCATGTTAAACCTCGGGCAAAAGCGGGAAGCAGATAGAGAGGACCCAGCATTTGGACCCGGAAACAGTATTATCAGAGCGTGATTACGTCACGACTTAACAACCGAATGGTAGACCTGTCATTCAACCTATTGGAAGTCGATGTACCATCTCGAGGGTTTAATATTATAAAGGTTGAAAAAGTTACATAGTGCTGCTTTAAGTGTTTTGTCCTGACTGAAGGGGAATCCTTGGGTATGATGAGGTATTGAGGGAAACTCATACCTCATAATGAATTATAATCCCATTCAGAGAAAGCTGATAACATGTAGGCTACACAGGGAAAGGAACAAGGAAAGTTACTGAATTACACATAAACACCGCTTTTGTGTCTTTATCATCTTTTCAGCATATAGCCTACTGACCTAGATACTCATCACAAAAACTTGATGTAAGCTCAATTGCAGTAAATGAGTTTTTATGAATTAACGGCTTGTCCTGGTCTTCAACAACACGCGCTTGCAGTGCACCACCTGCTGGCGAGGTAGACTAACAGCAGATGGAAATTATGCTCGGTAATCTACTGCTTTTCCTGCAGTTCCCATCTACTGTATGTTGAATTTACTGTCGAATTTGAAACACTGAATTTGTGGAAACGAATTTGCAAAGCGAAATAAAATGGACTGAAAATTGCCTGTTGAATATTATAATGTGTTTTTTAAACAGTTGTAATATTTTGGAAGTGAAATATGAAAGGTGAATAAGGATTATTGATTTTTAATGAAAATGTGTTTGAAATGTTTTGAATTGAAATATTCACAGTTTAAATATTCAATCATGCTGAATTTCAGCCCATAAAAATGCAAGCCCTAAAAATACAATGCATTAGAACGCAAGCATGGTTAATATTAGAGCAATTCAACATGGCCTTTTGTTTCAAAAACATTTAGGCCTAGCATTATTTTACTTCCATATTTGTACTTATGAAAAAGTCTTGTCACTTTTAAATTAATTACTTACTTTTTAAGAAAGATTACTGACCCCAAATATTTGAATAGCTAGTGTAATATGGTAAATGATTGGCATATTTGGTATTTGCAAGAATGCATACGTCAAAAACAAAAAACATAGCCTATTGCCATAGAACCATGTCCAAATAGCCTATATGGTAGCCTACATAATACATAACTGTAGTGTTTCATTTTTTTTTCATTAACAGTCCGTGTCATATACCTGTTATGCAGAAGTTTTATCCTTGACCACCATTCCCTTCTCTGCGTTAGATTTGCAATGAACTCGGCTTTCGGATCCTGCAGCCAAATCATGATAAGAAGGTATTTTCTTTCAACTGCTCAGTTTCAGAGGCTATCTTATTTGTGAAATTTTCAAAAACGATGCAATAAACAGGCTGTCTGAAATACCCAGACAGTTTGGCCAAACTTCAGATTCAAACACTTCCCTCCTCCTCCCCTGGGATTTTTGTGAAGATAGCCTACAGCGGACCCTCTATGCATGTTTGTGGTTTGGAATATTGATGGGTATGATGATAGCCTATATGGGATTTAGTTGATCAATAATAATATGATATCAACGAGATCAAAATAAAGGCTATAGTGTATCCGCCTGTTTTATTTAGGCTATCTTGTTATGGATGTGTAGACTTTTTATGAAGAATTTGACAAAATAATTTATTAGCTTTATTAAAATGTATTACTTTGTTTTAAAGCGTTAAACTAAAAAAAAAAATCTAAAACCTAAATAAAGCAGCAAAAGGGGTTGTTAATTGTTGGTTATTTTGCCATCATGGATTCAGACAACTGAGCTCAACCAATAACCTAACATGTTATTCCAAACTACTCCACATGATGGCACCTAAAATACTTTATTCTACAGGATACCTTCCTGCACTTTTTTATTTTTTTAGCACAAAAACAGTCTTGTATGTGCTGATGAAATGTGCTGTCACAGATATGATATATATATATATATATATATATATATATATATATATATATATATAAGCTATATTAAAGTGAATAACGTGTAGTAATCACTAATTTACTGTTAAAGAAAATGCAGTAATGTTCACTGAATTCCACCCCTTTACAAGAAACATTTTTTTGTGTGTTTCCATTTAAATATGTGTTTAGGCAAACTTGGATTTATTGCCTGCACTTTTAGTTGCTTCTTGTATTTTGATCTGAAGGTCTGTCTGAAGAAGAAGCAGAGATTTGCTGATTTTCTCAGTAGGGGTTCAATCACCTGTGCTAAGCTGCAACTATCCCCTTCTGTTAAAAAATAATAATAAAGTAGCCTATATAGTAGTAATGTAGTATATAGTAGTCTATATGCCTAATATAGTAGTCTATTGTCTACTATCTTGCAGTCTACTTGTATTAAAATAATACAAAACTCGACATTATTTCTACTCATTAGCTACTTCATGTGACTTGATATCAATTTGTGATGTGTTTATTTTTGTCACTGTGACACCGCCGTGACAGCGCTTCCCTGACGTCAACAAAGCCTGTGTGAAATGGTTGCGCGCATGCGCAACGCTGCAGACCTCGACTAAATTGAGGTCTTTGTTGAGATCAAAAAGACCGATCTTGCTCGAACTTTGCAGATATCTCAGGGATATTTCGTGAAACGACAACTGTATTGTATACAATCGTGAGCTTGGTGAAATCCCGAACACGAACTCAAGGATGTTAGCATAGCTGACAACATCGGATGTAACGTTAACGTACATAAACAAACACATCGCTGCCGTTTTAAGGTGGTATTTTTTGGGCGGCTTGATTTTATTTATTTGTAGCGTTACAATTACGACTAGTGGTTTGCCGAAATGAGGAACTGTCATAATTTTAAGGAGTAGAACTCTTCATCTCCATGATATCATGACAGAGGAGAGGAGTATTTGTACGGAAAGGCTGCCGATGGCACGCAGAAGTGGGGTTCAACTTTCCAGCTGCCTCGTCCAGACAGAGGAGAAGAGGGACACAGAAAGAGGATATTTGTGGGTCAGCTTTATTTCACATAAATAGTCAGGCTGCAAAATTTGGGAGATGGAGACTGTCGGGAAATTCGAGTTCAGCAGGAAGGACCTTATAGGGCACGGTGCCTTCGCAGTGGTATTCAAAGGCAGAAATCGAGAGGTAAGAAAATATAATTTGAATTACCAAATTATCTCCATTTACTTACAATGGTGTTATTGTGTGTTGATAAGAATTCGTTGTTTGTTTACCTACTGGTTGCAGAACTGACATACCACCTTAAAGGCCTCGAGCACGACAGATGGAGAATACGAGATTAAATTCCCAGTATTATAAAATAGAGAGATGTGGAATGTTTTAATATCCCATTATATTTATCCGAGCTTTAAATGTGGCATTTCCATTTTTATAAATGCCAATTATTCAGAGAGATTGAAATAATCTGAAAACAAGCCGCCCGTAGACATGCACGGACATGTTACAATATTAACTAAAAGATGAATCTGTTTAACCATTTATATCATTGACATTTTCAGAAGCATGATTGGGAAGTGGCAGTCAAATGCATAAATAAGAAGAATTTGGCCAAATCTCAGACTCTTCTCGGGAAAGAGATCAAGATATTGAAGGTATGTTTTGGTTGTTTTGGTCCGAACACAAAAATAGAGCATTTGTGTGCAAATTAATTTTTCTTTGCTTTCTCTAGGAATTGAAACATGAGAACATTGTTGCATTGCACGACTTTCAGGTAGGATGATTTGTACAATTACACTGCAGATGTTTAGATGAACAGTTTTCAATTTAACCATCTAAAGTGTTTTTTTTTTTTTGTTTTGTTTTTACTTTACTAGTCCAAATGGTATTAGTTACAAATAGTTATTATGGACTAAAAAATGTATCAAATGTATGTTTTTGAGTGTATCATTACTTCCTTTGCATTGATTGGTTAAAAGCAGTGACGTGTTCTTCTGTTGACATGACATGTGCACTTGTTTTTAATGGATCTGCTGCAGGGCATTGTGGGTATTGAAGTCTTAGTTACACACACACACACACACACACGTTTTATATTCCAGGAAGAGAAAGTTATGTTTACTCACTCGATTTGGAATTTAGAGTTTATTAACACTCAGTGAATGCTCTTTGTGCAATGGTGTGAGTGAAAACCTGTGTTGCTAAACTTGTGAAATGATTTCATTGAAGTCTTGACACGTTTTTCAAACATCTGGGTTCTTGCTATTTGCTCTTGGGTCATCATGAGGTTAATGTGTCAGGCCTGTGTAAGTTAAAGCCAGTAGGATTACAAAACACATGCAAATTGTACCTCTATTCAGTTGTAAATGCTTTGGTTTGTCTCCTTTAATGCAGTCTGTGTTACTGACTTTTGAAGTAATACGCATAGTAATGTGTTTTTGGCATAAGTAAAAGTTTATTAATTGATACATTATTACAATATATATATATATATATATATATATATATATATATATATATATATTCATTAAAAATTATAATTTATAAAAGAAAATTATGACTTAATAAGCTTTAAAAAAATATTTTAAGAATTTTCCCTTCGTTTTTGCAATTAATTTTTAACAAGTATTACATTTTTTATATATATATTATCTGCATCAGATCAGACATTAAAAATTTATGTCAGTTAATTACAAAAAAACCCTGCTATGCTACCTCGTTAAGGTGTGCTCAAAACAGGCGCGCTCAACTACCAAGACGTTTGTGGGTGCGAGTTATAAAACAACAGTTATCAAAATAAAGATGAAAAACCGCACTCTCTAAGGTCATCTCTCACCGCGTTAAGGTGTCAAATACCATTTTACCTTGATATTCACTAAGCGACTGAACAATTCTCATATCCATGCGTTTTACGTAGTACCGTAGTGCATTTTTTTGGTTAGCATTTACAGTTGAGGTTTGATGCTGCTTTTGTCTCCATTCATGTCAGTTTTTTAACGAAGGCTCACACTCTGGTGTTGCTTTTAAGAGCTGCAGCTCAAGTGTCTCAGCATATTTCAGCCTCATGCTTCACTGATCTGACCTCTTCTCACATCTCCTGGAAAGTCACACCACTTTCTTCTGTTGGGTCGACTGTCTGTGAAGTGAATGCCATTAAAGTTTGAGTTGGTCTCCTTGCATGACCTGGAGGGAAAAGCTATGACCTGCTTGGCTTTTTTTTTATTATTATTATTATTATATTTATAAGTTTATTTTTAGTTATTCTTCCTACAGTTAAATGTGTGTATATCGGATCTTAACAGGTTTGCTAGTATTTCAGGTGAACTGTAGCGTTCCATTCAAAATATGAAGGTTGCTATTTTAAAGGTCCCGTTCTTTATGTTTTTTGAAGCTTTGATTGTGTTAACAGTGTGTAATATAACGTGTTCATGTTTCGCGTGTAAAAAAACCCAGTATTTTTTACACAATTTACTTATCTGTATACCACTGTTTTCACTGTCCAAAAAATGGGCCGATGACTTCCTTGCTCTATGAAGTTTTTTCTACAAAGAAATACGTAACGAGTTCTGATTGTGCCAGCGGTTCCTGTGTTGTGATTCGACAGCAGCTTATCGCACGTTGCCCGGAAAGGTCACGCCTCTTACCATAAATTGGAGATGCATGCACTGATTGTTATTGTAAAAATGTCAAACATATTACCATATCAATTTGAGCCTGAATCAGACCCGGAGAACATAGATGAAGAGAATCGATTAGAACCTGTTCAAACACGACTTTTGCAGGATGTTTCAGTGGTAAGCAAAGAAATACAAAAAGTACTGTAACACCTCCTAATTCAATCATTTTTGTTGTGTATAGTTCTTTTGAAATTGTTTTCATCCAAACAACTTTATATAAATTGACTCCGGCATGAAAATAACGTCAACAAACGATACAGTTTTTTTCTAATCTCCACCCACAGGAATACACAAAAAAGGGGGCGTGGTCTTGTTGAGCTCCGGACGTCCTCTTCTCCGTAGGAGCTCAACAAGACCACGCCCCCTTTTTTGAGTATTCTTGTGGGTGGAGATTAGCAAAAAACTGTTCTAATTACATCATTAAAAAAGGAAGAAGAGGGATGTTGTCCAAACCGGACGTTCGCTTTGAGCTTTATAATTTTACAGGTATTATTTATGCTCTAACAGCAACATTACACACTAACTAATGTTTGAAAAATGGAATCGTGAAGAAATGGACCTTTAAACGGGATGAGCAAAAAGTACTAAATTACAAATGTCCTCTCCAGAAGCAGTTTAGTAGGGTCCTTACTGCATCTGTGGTTAAATTCAACATTAGCAGATCTCATGGGCATGCTGTGTTCATAAGCAAAGCTCACTTTATCACCCACATGAACATCAGTCATTTAGGCACCAGGCAGTCTGTGTGTTATGTTGGGTTTGTTGGGTTTTCCCAGCTGAATCGCCAAGCTCGTTCAAGCGCTAGTTGTCATCAAACAGTGATGTTTGGCCTAGTTTCTGTCTGACTACACAGCCAACTGAGGTCTATCTTCTGTGGCAGAAAGTAAAACATCGGAAATGCTGAGTCAGCAGCATACGCCGGTCACGGATCAGCCGATCTGGCTGATTGTTTGCAGGCAGACACCAGAATGGGGGAGGTCATATGTTGCCAAGTGATAAGGTCATTCTAAGTGGGCTACCCTGTATTTTTTTCGAGAGGCCTCAGCCATGGGCCCAGGAAATAACAGGATTACGCTGCTGTAAAAGCTGACCTGATAGCAGAAACAACCTGTCCTGTGGGACTGAAGGCAATTGTCTGGATAAATTAATATTTAGTGCTTTTGCCTATCTGACATGGTTTTAAGAAAATATCATGCATTTGTTTAGTTTAGTTTTTCTGTTCATATGTACTGACAACAGTTCTGTTTTAATAGCTAGCGTTAGTCCGTGTGTTTAAATGTTAATTGGTGTTCTAAAGCCTATAGACTGGCATTGCTGCTTTGTTGTTGTCTGAAAAAAGGATTACCACCAGGTTTAAAAACACTATCTAAAATAACATTTTATCAGTGCATGCTAGGCTCATATGTTATGCCCAAAAATTAAAATTCTGTAATTTACTCTTTCAAAACCTATATGACTGACTTTCTTCTGTGGAATATAAAAATAACTTATTTTGTGTTCGGTAGAAGAAAGAAAGTGCATGAAATTATAAATATGGCATCAGTTGATGTAATATAAAAATATGCTATGCATGTATAAAAAGTACAACTTCAGTCATTTCTAATATTGTACGTTCTCATTTCTTTTTTATTTTTACATTCAGATTGCATTTGCTGTCATCTAACGCTCAATCTAGTTAATCTTTAAAAGCAGAAACAATTTAATAACACATGTAATGACGATTTAATGTTCACACTGACTGTACATTTTATTGTGATGACTACATTCATTTGCAGCATTTAAACTATTTAATTTTGTGTTGTTTTTTATTTATTTTAAGTTCTTTCGATCTTAATTTTTAATACTGACTAATTATCATTATTTTTTTTATTAGTTAACCTCCACTCAACACAATACTCTACAGTATTAAGCTTCGGTAGATAACTGGTGCTGTTCTATGGACCATATATTCTTGGGGATGGGCTCTTTTGTCTTTAACCTGTAAGAAACCCCCCAGAACACCCTAGCAACCATACAGCATGGACTAAATCCGCTCAGAAACCACATCAGTGCAGCTGCGTAGTAACACTGCGTAGTAAATCACACCAAACACATTTCACAGCATCAGCACTTTCTTGTGTCTGAGTGAGATTCAATGGTGTGTGCTGTGGCTGCGTTGAATTGAAATCTGTAACATCATCACACGGTTAGCACAGTGTTAACTAAGCTTATGACCTTTGCCCTCCCCTGGCCTGCATTAGCCCATTATGACCCAGTGCAGAGAAAACACGCTCACGCCATGTGGATTAGTGTTAGGCAACTGCATTTGTAAAATGCCGCAATACCGGTTCCACTGTAAACATGTTCGTCTGTTAAAAGTCTAAAAGTAAACATACAAACAATATTATGCACAAATGTTGAATATACATTAATCTGCTTTAATGGCCACCTTTCTGTCCCAGTTTTTGAATCTCATTACTCGTGTCTCTTTCTAGGAAACGGCAAGCTCTGTGTACCTAGTGATGGAGGTAAGTGGGCCTGTTTTCCCATTGTCTTTTGTTGCTCATCTTGTCCGTCTTGTACCTGGTAATGCCTGCAATTTGTTGTGCCCTGGGGTCAGTGGAAGACAGCTGCAGTTGTTAATAACACAGCACCAGTAGATATATAAACCTGAAATCATGGTGGTTTGTATGCTGTCAAACATGGTGTATGTATCACGATGAAATTCAACTTCTGTGTAAAGGCCATGCTACCGAGTCAGCTTTCAGAAAAGCTCTATGGAAATGCAATGGGGCCACTGGGATACCCATCATTAGTAGACAAAGGGAAATAATGGCCCATCTTTTCTGAGTGGCTTGTTTTAATATGCATCTGAATCGTCTCTCCCCATGCAATGAACTAAGCCCCATTTAGATGCAGGTTTTGTTATACAGCATTGTTGCATGGTGCTGTTTTTCAAAGTGAAAAGATCAATGTTCTTTCTTTAACTGCAGTACTGCAATGGGGGAGACCTGGCTGACTACTTGCACTGTAAGTGGGACATTTCATTTATCATGCTTTGAATTCATTATGGGATTTTTTTTTTTTGCTCACTGCACACCAGCCTTTAGTCATTTGTGTGTTCATTCTTAAAGGGATGGTTCACGCAGAAATGAAAATTCTGTCATCATTTACTCGGCTCATGTCGTTGCAAACCCCATAAGACTTTCGTTCATCTTCGGAATACAAATGATGATCATTTTGATGAAATCTGAGTGCTTTCTGTCCCTCCATTGACAGCTATGTAAACACCACTTTGATGCTTCAAAAATTCCATGAAGACATTGTTGACACATCAGTTGTGATAAACGGGAGCTCAAGCGTGTTTAAGCATGTTCTCCTGTTATGCAGCACGTTTTGAGTTTACACTAATGAGGTTTGTTCTTGTGCGTCAATAAAAGTCTATATTAAATCTGTTCATCATATAAAGCGATCAAGTCTCTTCAGAAAATTTGGACTAAACCATAGCGTGGCATGCCAGACCTACATCAAGTTGTTAGGTCTGGGAACTCAACATTGACAGGGCTCAATCCGAGGAGTGGGATAACCGGTTGTCTTTCAAATTCTCTCTGCACGCAATTGGATAGCGCTACAACCAATCAGAGCAACGAAGAAGGTGACATAGTCAGCGGAGCAAGTTGATATATTAAACTTTTACCATATCCAGTCCATAGCTGTCAACATTAAACATTGAAAATGAGATTTCTCTGAATCCATCCCCAAAATAAGGGATTTTTTGTTTTTTACACGACCCACAAACTTTAAAAATTAAAACACTAATCATTAAAAGTCTAAAGAGTTTATAAAGAGACAGTATCAGTGTGTGTGTGTGTGTGTGTGTGTGTGTGTGTGTTTGAGAGAGAAAGAGACATTGTGTCAATAAAAAAATAATATCATAGAGAATGTTTTAAATACTAATATCAGCTTACGAGGGAAACGGAGGCGGAGTAGTGGTGCTTCGGAGTGCAGGAGATGATTCAGGAGAGGTCTGTGCACCTTTACCGATCAGAGCACGCGCTGACACGGAGTGAAGCCTTTATACTCAATGCGTCGCAAAAACGACAAGTTGATCGTTTCGCCACAGCTTTTTAGTTTTTTGTAACAGCGCGCGCGACGCCGCATCCGAGAATGAATGACTTCAAACCGAATATGTCCGAGCTTACTCTGACCGTCGCAGCTCTGTCGTCATTAAGTTAAGCCCGCCCGCCGACTCTATACACGATGTGATTGCCCCGGCCAGAGTTGGGTTTTTCTAGCTAAAATGTCTATGGAGAGTTGCTAGACCACACTGGCTAGGGTGCGTCTAGATTTCTAGGCTAACTAAACCACTCAATTCATTTGGATTAGTTTTATGATCTAGAGTTAACTTTTTGATAGCATCAAAGTGGTAGTTGCATCGCTGTCAACGGAGGGACAGAACGCTCTCAGGTCTCATCAAAATATCTTAATTTGTGTTCCGAAGCCGAACGAAAGTCTTACAGGTTTGGAACAACATGACAGAACTTTCAATTTTGGGTGAACTATCCCTTTAATACTTAATTATTTGTTTTAAGATTGCAAACTTTCTAAAAGAACATCTCTTTTTGAGTAGAGTGCCAAGTCCTAGCTTTAAATGCTGAAATTTTTTTGCTTGCATGATGAAACAAGTTATATTGGTTAATTTCAAAAAGCATGCAAAGTGGAACTCAGGAAGTTAGGCCAGAAGGGTTTAGAGTGTGTTTGTGTATGTATGTTTTGTTTAAAGCGGTCTGAGGAAGCTGTGACTGTTATCTGCAGGGCGTGAGTATGTTTTCAGAGGAAGTAGTTGCTCTGAAAATTCCAGATAAACCATTTTTGTTCTTTATGGAATCTGACAATTCAGTTCAGATCAGACAGAGAGGTTGAGAAGAAATATGTGACGCACTACAGCATATTGCATTGCTTAAGTTATATATGCAGTGTGTAGTAACTGGTTTAAATTTATAGACAACAGGTTTCCAGTGCTGTCTTAGTTGATATGCATTGCATTGTGGAATGATTGCATATTCCATTTACATTTAATTTGCATGTAAAAAAGTCGTTATATGGATCCATACAGTATGAAACAGTGGAGTCAGGGCCAGGTGATATAACAGAAAACATCTCAATATTTTTTCGCCTTTTAATGGTAGGCTTTTTTTTAAATTGTGATTTTGTGGGCATACATTCATTAATAATCTATTTAAATGTCAATTTAGAGCTCAGTATACTTTTATTCAGCAAGAAAAGAATGCATTCAATTATTAAACTGATCAAATGTGCAAAAATGCTAAATATTTCTATATTTCAAAAAATTCTTTTTTTTTTTTTTTTTTTTTACTTTCTATTCATCAAAGAATCCCGGAAAAAGGTTTCACGGTTGCCACAATTTTTTAAGCACCACAAACGTTTTCAAAATTGATAATAATAAGAAAAAGTTCTTGAGCAGCAGTTCAGCATATTAGAATGATTTCTGAAGGACTTGAAAAATATATATATTTATGTATTTATTTTAAATATAAGCCTATACAAATTATAAATATAAGCCTAACCATGTGCCTTTGGGGGCTCTGTAGAATGTCTTACTCATTTCCCGTGCCTTTTTACGATTTCACCAGCAAAATCTTCACAAATGTATTGTATTGTCAATAGGAATTGCCTAGCCCTAATGAACTCTTTACTCTGATGCTCTTTCAGCTAAGGGCACTTTAAGTGAAGACACCATCCGAGTATTCCTGCAGCAGATCGCTGGGGCCATGAGGGTCCTTCAGGCCAAAGGAATCATCCACAGAGACCTGAAACCCCAGAACATCCTGTTGTCCCATCCTGCAGGCCGAAAGTCCCACTCCAACAACACCTGCATCAAGATAGGTGAGCCTGTGTGCACGCCTGTTTTTATTATTTACTTTTAGCATTAGAAACTCTAGATACCACATCCATATGCTTGAGGAGGTCTGATGTTTGCAGATTCAGCCTTGTTTGTTTGTTAGTGTTTTGCTTGAGTATTTAAATGAAGTCTACAAACTCGATCGCAAATTGAATTGCTTTAGCCCAGTAATAGAATTATGTTCAGTAATATGGAAATTTGTTACTATAATAAAAAAAAAACTCTTCACAGCCTGTTCTTTTATTTAAACCTGGGTTTGCCATTACCCAAAGTGTATTGCTTTACCAGAACAGTTTCTAAGATCTTATTTTGGTCTCTTTAGCTGACTTTGGCTTTGCACGGTACCTCCAGAACAACATGATGGCCGCCACACTCTGTGGGTCCCCAATGTACATGGTATGAACTATGACATTTTTGAACTATGAATTGCACATATATGCACATCACTGAGATTATAACTCTGAAATGCTGTTCACCAGGCACCTGAGGTTATCATGTCACAGAACTATGACGCCAAGGCTGACCTGTGGAGTATAGGGACCATTGTGTTTCAGTGCCTGACTGGAAAGGCTCCATTTCAGGTACTCACCACATTCTGTGAGAAGATGCACTTTGAGTTAACTGTTTAGTTGTCATTTTCAAATTTGAGATGCATCCATGCCATGATTTGAAAAATTACTTTTACTAAGCTTGTTTTGATTGTCTTTCCATCAGGCCAGCAGTCCACAGGACCTCCGCTTGTTTTATGAGAAAAATAAAAGTCTTAGCCCAAAGTGAGTGCATATCTTATTGAGTTTGATTGCCAGCGACACTTTTCAGATTAGTCTTGGACTACATATTCTGCTAAACCTTGTGTAAAAGTCCATCTCTTTCAATCTTTCTCTACAGCATTCCCAGAGAAACTTCCAGTCATCTCAGACACCTGCTGCTTGGCCTCCTGCAAAGGAACCATAAGGACCGGATGGACTTCGGTCAGTATCCTGTGTGTTTTGATGCACCAATGTTTGTTATTTATAAGTTTAGTTTCGGCCATGGTTCTGTTATTCACCATGCTGTCTTTTTGGGGTGTTTGTGAAATATTTCTGCTTTTATAGATGAATTCTTCAGACACTCCTTCTTGGAGGCAAGCTCGTCTATGAAGAAGTGTGAGTTATTATACTGCCATTTTAAACAATGTCTTTACTCTATTTTAATAGTCAGTAAAAGGAGATGCTTAACCTTCAGAACATGTTTAGTGTCCAATTAAATATTATTATTTATAAAATATGTTTTATTTTCTGTCAGGTTTGCATCCTTGGTACTAAAATTTGGTTTAAACCCCTGATGCTTTTCAATAGATTTTAAATAAAAATCCATATTAAATTGACCAAATGTATCAAGTTAATAAATATGAGCTATATATATATATATATATATATATATATATATATATATTTATAATATAATTATGACAGAATGGGCAACAGAGTTAAATAAGAGGATAGCAAAACTGGGATCAAATGTTGGTTTGTAGTTATTCATAAACGTTTTTCCCACAAAAAAAAAAAATAAAGAAAGTTGATTTTTTTTTTTCTTGCAGTTTTTTTACTTGCATGGTTTAATGACAGATACAGTCATCATTACAATTTGTGTAAAAATTTAGAAAGTGCAATAGGTGTTTTAGGTGAAAAGGGTGAAATGATGTTTGAATTAAATACATTTAATGGGTCAAAGGATTGCAAAATAAACATAACTAGATATTTTGTTTTTGGTCATTAAAATTAATTTACTTTTTATTACAATCATTTGTATTTTTTTTTAAATGAATTGTATAGGAGATACAAATTTAGGAGAACCAAATTTATATGATTGTAATTTTCAAGTACAGTTGATAAGGTTGAGAAGTGGGCAATTTAAAGTCATTTGACTCTGTAGTGTGCTGTATTTATGGAAAGTATCAGCCGTCGTCCAGGATGTTAATTGTCTGTGTATCTTCACAGCTGCTCCAGTGACCGTGACTTGCTTTCCCAATTCAGCCTCTGCAAGCTCATGCAGCAGTTCGTCTACTTCACACCTGGCCTCTCCTCCTGTACGTGTGTGTGTGTTCATTAGAATGATCAATGTCAGGTCATTGTGTCTGTTGTACTGATAAATGTTGACAAGTCAGGAGTTTGTCATGCACATAAAGATAAATAAGCATAAAAAGAAGCTGCCTTGTTGATCAAAGACCCACTTTCTTAACATTTTATGGTGGCTTGTAACACTAATCCGTGATAGGCCACATGTTAATCAGTTCTGTATTTTGTGGCATTTTATGAGTCTCATGGTGTTAGAATGCTGTATAGAGGTCAGGACTTCAAAAGTAAAAACAGTAATATTCTGACATATTACAATTTAAAATAACCAAATAACCATCATTTTTCCTTAATATTTTTGTAGATTTTTTTTCTACTATTCTTTGAATAGAAAGTTAATTTTAAACTTGAAATACATTTTTTTGTAACCATGTAAAAGTTTTTATTGTCACTTTTTATCAAAGTATTTATTTCTTCCAAAACTAAGCTTACTTTACTGACCCCAAAATGTATACTGTAGTGTATGCAACCAACCATGCAAATTTATATAAATGATATTTAAGTATATTCCACCAAACTTAGTGTAATATTAATATTTTTGTAAAAAAATGTCTGTCAAATAGTTTCATCAGGGCAGTAAAAAACTATATTTTTATTGTTACGAACTTTGGATCACTCTAGGGGAATAGAACGTAACACTCATATGTTCAAATACTGTTGGATGTGAGTGGGTGAACAGAAACAGCCATTGCACATAAGTATAAGTGCCAAAAGACATTGTGTTTTATTTACGAAATTCCGAAGCCACTTGATTGCGATACAGTCTGAACTATTTACAGTATATTTATTAAAGACGAATAAAGAAAAGAAACAGAAAAAAATCAAATAACACAGGGAAAAGGAACCTAAGTGGCACCAAATCAAAGAACCAATCAAAACCCCAAAAAAGAGGAGAGAGAGAGAGAGAGAACACAGAAAAACACCAAAATGCTTGTGGAATGTAACATTTATGATCTCTGTTTATTACCAATTCAGAATACAAAGGATCTTTATGGTGTAACATTTGTTCTCATCCTCTTATATATTTTGTAGCAATCCCTTGCAGAGATCCAGCAGGTCCGTGCAAAGGCATTAGCGTCCCCGACCCAGGATTCTCCAGGATACCTGCTGAAGGACTCGGAAGGTGGCGGAGGCGGCAGCAGTAGCAAGAACTCGTCCTGTGACACTGATGATTTTGTCATGGTTCCAGCTCATTTCCCCAGTAAGCCTGCAAAAAACCTGCAAGATTTAAGAAAATTGTGTCTGTCAAGTTGGAATGCTGGGTATTTATCATCTTTTTTCCCCCCTCCGTCTGTCTTTATAGGTGAGCTTACCTGTGACATGCCGACAGGAAAGGTTAACCAAGACAGTCTGATGTATAGTGGGTAAGCGCTCAATTGAACTGTGATGCTCATGCAGGTTTGAATCCGGCTTATAACATAGTCCTTCAGAAATCATTCTAATATGCTGATTTGGTGTTCAAGAATCATATTTTATTATTATCATCAATGTTTTCAGGATTCTTTAATTAATAGAAAGTTCAAACAGCATTTAATTGAAATCGAAATCTTTTAAATGTCTTTACTGCCCTTTTTTTATCGATTTAGTGCATCTTTGTTAAAAGAATAAAAATTAATGAAAGGGGTCAAATGATGGTTCTAAAAAAGAACATTATTTTGTGTATTTGGCTTAATGCATTGTGTTTACGCGGTTTTAGGTTAAAAAAAAGTTATTTTACACATACTGTACATTACTGTTGCTAAATTTTCCTCTTTTGGAAGGCCAAACCAAGTAGTTTGGCTTTCGCAAAGAAAAAGACAGCGTCTCCACGACATGGCAGCACCGGCGGTAACAATAATACAGCGAGAATAAAATGTACGCCTTCTTTCTTTGGGTACATATTTGGATGGTGTTATGAAACGCACTGATGTGGATTTGTGGGGTCGTGTTTGAACTAAGCCTTTTAGGAAGTTGTGGCTGAGCCTTCACTTTATGAAGAATATCTCTTTAGGTTTGTCACTTTGAGCTTTGTTCTGTAGATCTTATACTTGCACTAACAGCTACATAACACACTTAAGAAAAAGGACAACATGAAATCGCATCATATGACCCCTTTAGTTTCCCCCACCAAAAAAAATCTTACTGACATCCAACTTTTGAGTTAGTTGTATAGCTGGAATAATACGATTTTCCGTTTGATACACTTAAATGGAGTTAAATTCTTTCACTAATTAACCACGCTTTACATCTTCTTGAGTAATCATCTGGAACGAATCTTCTCCTTACATTCTCCATCTATGTTCTGCTTTAGGAGTTCACTTCTGGCATCTGGAGGTCAGTGCAGTCAAGTTAAGACCCCTCCACGCTCTCCCTCCTACAGCAGCTCTCCAGGACCCAGCGGGTATGAACACAGCAGGATGAACATATAGAGCTTTAAAAAAGAAAAGAAAACAGAATGATTATTCAATTTGTTTTTTGTTTTTTTGTAAGCTAGTGGGTTTGACTAGTCAAAATAATTATTTATAATTGTTTGTATGTATTTCTTTTTTTGTGGCGGTGCTTAAAATACTTAAATAATTGAAAAATAGTTTAACAATTTAAATTTTTACTTTTTTTAAATGTGAATAAATGGTGCATCATTTGTTAAAGTATGTATAGTAAGAACTCTGAATATTTTTTCTAGTCTCCTCATTGAAGCATAAAATATGGATTTTACAAAAAATCTAAAAAAAAGTTTTTTCTGTTTAAAAAAAATTTGACAAATCATTCATTCACTAATTTATTAATTATATTGCTACTTGCTAAAAAAAAAAGTCAAAAATGTTTGTGTGTTAATGAGTTGAAGGGAAATTCAATAAATAAAATGTGATATTTGATATTAATCAGTGTGTTGAAAGTATTAAAATTTAGACAGCCCACCTGTACATTTTGAAAATATATAGTTTTACACATCCCTACACGCAAGTTGCATAAGTATAAACCATATGCCATTTTCAAGTTTGCACATTTGTTCATGTAGCAGCCAAGACTCATTTCCTCCTGCCTAGCTAAGGCCAATCTTTTCACTATTTGATTTCTGGGTCATTGAAGATTGGGGCCTTTGCCAATAGGGCAAGTGCCAGTGAGTCCTCGATTGGCATGAAGATTGCATCTTTAATGGGCACACAGATCGTCCTCTTCTCCTTCATTATTACTATACTACAAATTATACGGGAAATATAAACGTCCTGTGAGATTTTAAATTATTTTATTTTAGCAATGGAAGCTGGAGGATATGCTGATGTCAGTGCTTTTATGTTTTACCATGTTTCTCTCTCTCTCTCTCTCTCTCTCTCTCTCTCTCTCTCTCTCTCTCTCTCTTTTCAATCACTCAATTTATTTGGCTCTCCCTCTAACGTTTTATTTCTGCCTCATTCTCAGCAGGCCGAGTGAGTTTTCTGGGAGTAACTATGGCAACTATGGGCAGTCTGTACCCATTCCAGTCCCCACTCAGATTCACAACTACCAGCGCATGGAGCAAAACCTCCAGTTCCCAGGTCAAGAGGGTTCTCCACGGTGAGTGAAACCATATCCGTGTATACTAAGGGCAAAATTCCCTCTTGAAAATGTCATTTGAATAGAGTGCAACAGTCATATTTTTTCACTTTATAAAAATGAACATTCTCATCAAAATTTGAATGTTCTGATTACTTTAAGTAAATATTTTAGAGGTAATTCATAGAGAAAATGAAACGTTAATATGACCAATGCAGGTATACATCAATTTTCTTTGAATATCATTTTACTCAAATTGAACTGGTTTTCTACCTACGTAAATTTGCCTAAGTTCAAATGGAATTTAAAGGCATGTATACATTACTCCTTTCTTTCTTTCTTTCTTTCACAGATCTGCCACGGTCCAGCGATGCGGTAGCGCGAGCTTTCTGACCTGTGGAAGGACAGGACCTTCTCCTCCTCAGTCTGGTTCTGCTCTCACTTCTCGCAGGCTGTCCACAGGAGGCACAAAACCCTTCCAGCTCTCTCCACAGGGTCAGTGCCACTTTCTTTGGCCCAAAGCCACAGTCATGTCTTTGTAGCTAAATATGATTTAGCTGTGTTTCTGAACAAACTCTCTGGCTCACTCTGTCTCACTCTCTGCTCTGCTCTTATCTCAAAAGTGGGCACCATTCCTGAGTTGCCAGACCAAATTTGCCCAGCGAGTACAGAAATGGTTCAAAGGGGATGTCGGGGTGGAGGTAAAATAATATTTCCTCTGTTTGCTCTCTTTTTTTTTTTTTTTTTAAGGAACATCAGTATTTCACAGCCCAGTTATTTTCCATTTTGTAAATGTTGCTTGTCAAGAAAGTTGTAAAACGATTGCTTTTCAACTCTTCCCGGCTGTTTAGAAAGCAAGGCTCGGCCACAACAGCAGGGTCTAGGGACACGGCTCAACAGTGCCCCCTGTTTGCTGGAGGCGACTGGTGGGTGCAGGCAGAAGATCAGGAAGCAGCATTCAGATCCAGTGGTAGCTCCTCAGGGAAACATGATGCCCTTTAGGACCCTGCACTCCTCGCCCAGGCTCAGTGAACTTATGCAACGCAACCCCCTACCAACCATCCTGGGTTCTCCTTCCAGAGTAAGATCCTTATTTCTGCCATAAGTTCCCAGTTTTACACTCCTGTCCAAAAGTGTGAGATTGGTTCAAATTATTTATTTATTTTATGTTTCGAAAGAAGTCTCTTATGTACAGAGCCCCTAAAGGGACATGGTTAAGGGAAAAAAATATGAGATGGAGGAAAAATTATTTGCCAATATGTTTGCGTTTTCTTGCAAATGTTTTCATTAACCCGAGAAACTTCACTTTCCCTCACAAAAACGTTTGTGTTCCCCAAAAAAACTTTAAATTTTTCCACCACCATGTCCCTTTAGGGGCTGTGTAAGCATGAATTTGATCAAAATCTTCAGTTTTCTATTTAAATATATTTTCAAATGTAATTTATTCCTGTTCCAGATGGGGTATTACTTTATTTTATTTTTTATTCTAAACTGTTTTAATTATTCTTATTTATTTTGTTTATTTTAATTTGTTCTATGTAAAGCACTTTGAATTACCATTGTGTATGAAATGTGTTATAAAAATGAACTTGACTTGCCTTGATGGTAAAGCTGAATTTTCAGCATCACTACTCCAGTCTTCAGTGTCACATGATCCTTCAGAAATCATTTTAATATGTTTATTTGCTGCTCATATTTCTTGTTATTTTCAATGTTGAAAATAGTTATGCTGCTTAAGATTTTTGTGGAAGCCATGATACTTTTTCCCCAGATATTTTTGATGAAATAGAAAGTTCACAAGGACAGCATGTATTTTTTATTTTAAAAAATGTGCATCCTTGCTCAAAAAAAGTACTTATTTCTTAAAAAAAAAAATAAAAAGATCTTCTTGACCTAAACTTTTGAACTGTGTTTTGCATGTATGTGAACTGTGTAAAAAAAAAATGCAAACAAATCATGAAAAAATGTCCTTTTTCCTTTCCAGGCCATGCCCCCATTTGAGTTTCCCAAGCCCCCGAGTTCCCCAAACATGGTCACATTTCTTACCCACCAGGGCCTCCGACCAGCTCAGGAAGAGGCTAGTTTTTCACCTATCTACCAGCCTGAGGAGAGAAAAGGCTTTGGGAGGTAAGAGAAGAAGACTTGAGTAGATTTTAGCTTCATTCCAAATCCTAATAAGCGGCCTTGCTGTCTACATAAATAGCATTGTAAACACTTTTTTTTTTTTTTAATCTTGAGTTACTAAAACACTCTTCAAAAAGCTAGGCAGCTCTCCTTGTTTTTGTTTTTTTCCTCCTTGTTTTATTATTTATTTTTCCTCTTATTTTGCTTTTTCATCATCTTAACTTCTCGGGACAGGTCTCAAAGTGTTGGTCGCCTATCTGATGTGCTGCTTATGGCGGCATTTGGGGGTCAGCGAGGAGAAAGAAGCAGCATGGAGAATCTCAATTCTGACAGAGGCATAGACATCACAGGTGAGCTCACTGACACATTCACAATGGTCACTCCAATCTAACTATCCCTGTAAATTACCTTTTAAAAAATCAAATTTTTTTGCATTATAAAAATTGAATTACATTATAAAAAATCTTGACCCCAAATACAGTAGTGTTAATCTATAAAATGGTTTCTGTCATTGAAAGTGAACATCAGTATGTAAATGGTCTTCATCTTGTAATAAAATGTAATTTTAAATGTCAATTTATATGCAGTCTCCATTTGACACACTGTTGTTTTTCTGCTCACAGCGCCACCTGGTGGTGGAGGCATTGTTGTGGGCTCAGGTAGTCCTGCTCGAGTAGTGTTCACTGTGGGTTCTCCGCCAAGTGGGGGAACACCTCCTCAGAGTTCTCGCTCAAGGAAGTTCTCCGGTAAGTTTGTTTTTTCCCTCCAATTTTGACTACTTTATGATTTGTCTAAATTTAAAATGGATCCTTCAGGGTAGCACTGACCCGAGTGTTTCTCAGCAGGCTCTCCAAGCTCCGTTAGTCCGGTAGGGTCCCTCACCAGCCGCTACCCACAAACAGGCCTTCTCGTGGACGGCTACGAGGGGCCCTCGAGTCCCCGCTACGGTTTCTCTGACCCCATCTCAGCCAACCTAGAAGGAGCTGTGACTTTTGAAGCCCCTGAACTACCAGAGGAGACCCTAATGGAGGTAAGCACCATGCATTTTGTTTTGATAGTCTTGCTAACTAGTTTAAGTTTGCGTCTAACGCCACAATTCTCTCTCCACTGCAGCAGGAACACACAGAGACTTTGCACAGGCTCCGGTTCATGCTGGACTTTGCTCGATGTATGGTGGATGTGGCAGAAGCCCGGGGTGATGAGGCTCCCAAGGCCGACCCCTCTTCCACCAGCCTGCTCCAGCAACAAAGCCTGGTGGCCGACCAGATCAGCTCTTTGAGCCGAGAGTGGAGGTGAGAAGATGTGCACCATGGCTAGTCTCTCACAACTATGAATCTCTCTAGTTATGGATCACAAGTGCATTTGTTCTATATATTTTGAGAACAGGGCAGTTCTTCTGTTCACAAACTGTGTGCCAGTGTGGTGTAATGTCGTATAAAATCCTTTAATATGAAAATCAACTAAAATAGCAATTAAAAGACGCATAGAGTGGCGTTAATAATGGGTATATTTGTGTCGTGTCAGTTATGCTGAACAGTTGGTGCTTTACATGAAGACGGCAGAGCTTCTGTCATCTTCAATAAACACAGCCATGGAAGGAATCAAGCAGGGAAAACTCTACCCATCTACCACCGTCAAACAAGGTCAGACACATTCTTCTCACCCCCATCATATTGTGCACAACAGTGGCCATCCACTTTTTAAGCATAGTTCCTATTCATTTTCTCAGTAGGCATTAAACATTCATTGACTATGTTTACATGCACTCTCATAATATAAAATCGAATGAAATTTAGGCAATATTGATGAAAAAACTGTATATTGATGACTAGTCAATGAATAGAAGTACAATATAATATATTTACAATGTGCAATTTAAGTAAAACAATACATTTGATGCTTAAAGTCATTTGAGGGTGTCTTATTTATTTAATTTTACATTATTATGATTTACTTAATTACAAACCTCCAGTTTGGAAAACCCTGATGTAGGGAAACTGACTCATTCGTAATTCTTTATGGGACTAAGATACATTAAAGATGCTTTGTAAAATACTTGAGAGTAGTTCTAATATCAAAGTCGATATTAATATTATATTACTATTAATAATTATATTATTATTATTATTGTTTACACTTTGTTTTTCAGTGGTTAGGAGGTTGAATGACCTGTATAAGTCCAGTGTGATGTCATGCCGCTCTCTGAGCGCTCAGCTGGAGCGATTCTTCTCCCGTAAACACAAACTCATGGACCACATCAACAGCATCACCGCAGAGAGGCTCCTCTTCAGCCACACCGTACAGATGGTAAGAAAGGGTGGTTTTCACAGCCATCCCATAGAAGAACCACGTGCTCCCCACACAATTTTGTAGTGACTGTTCTTAAAAGAACCATTTTTACTAAATGTGAAGAACATGCTTCTTTTTCCTCAATAAATAACATTTTCTGCAATGGAAAGGTTCCATGGATGTTGAAGGTTCTTCAAGGAACCATATCAATAAAGAACCTTTATTTTTAAGAGAGTGCTCTTGAAAAATCAGGGAATTTTGAAATTGTGACTTTAGGGTTCTGGAAAATCCTAATTATGCTCAGTAGAGCTGGATTATTTTTTTTTTTTTAAGTCGGCATGAAATCAAATTTGACAAATCTTCTTTTTATATGTAATGTCAGCCCGTTCTCATCCCAAGGCGTCATATACTGACACTTTTGCCAATGCGTATACATCCAACGCACATGGCACCTTTTAGCGTCAATATGCTAAAGGCGCAGATGTATATGGGCCAGAAGGCGCCTCCTAGTGGTCTAACCTTAAACCTACCCATAACCGAAGCGTGTTATATTGACGCTAAAGGGTGCCATGTGCTTTGGATGTATACGCATTGGCAAAAGCGTCAGTATATGACGCCTTGGGATGAGAACGGGCTGATATTACATATAAGAATCGTGATTTCTGTTTGAAACACAAAAACCATGATTCGCAATTTATCCTGAATCTTGCAGCTTTAATGCTGAGCTGTAAAATATTTGTCGCCTTGTGTTCCTTTTTTTTCGATTTGTTCTTTGTTGTCAGCCATTTTCTATTCCTAATGACTTTTTGAAATTGTTTGTCGAGTGTATTTTAGAAGCTGTCTGGTCTTACAGGTGCAGGCGGCTGCTCTGGATGAGATGTTTCATCAGGGGGAAGCATCAATTCAGCGCTACTATAAGGCTTTGCTGCTCATGGAGGGTCTGTCTCTCCTCCTCACAGAACAGACTGACATCCTCAGCGTTAGCAAGTGTGAGTAAAACTACAGACAGACTTGTTTATTAACATACAGGACATCTTAATAAGATCATTTGCGTAACCAGTGTGATGTTTCCCTACAGGTAAGCAATGCATTGAACGCCGTATCACCGCCTTGCAGTCGGGTCTCTGTGTGTAAAGTCTCTCCAGCACCCTGCTGTTACACCATCAAGATTACCTGAGCACCTCTCGAAGTGATGTGGGGGAGGGAATGGCCCTCTGATTGGATCACGTTAATCTGATTGACAGCTGTTGTCATAATGGTGGGAAAATACCATACCAATACCAGACATGAAAAGACACCAATAAAACCTGTGTCTGTGGTCAAGATGAAACTCGCTTCGTCGATGATTCTCTCACAGAGTTTAAAGTGAAGAACAAGATGTTTCGTGGTGCAACTTGTTGGCTCAAATGTCCATGTTATCAATGGGTTGTGCAATCTGAGTTTTTTTTAGACAAGGTTTACCCACCCCAGAACATCAGTTTCTTACATTTTCCTTAGTTTATATTTCGTTTCCACCATGCTAACTAGCGGCGACGTTAGAAAAAACACGTTTAGGATAATTATTAGCGATTTATTACCACATTTACATGTAGAAGTGATTTGTGTGATTGAAGTTGAAGTAATTTCGGTTGGTTGGTTGAAATCCAAGTGTCCAGTTAGAAGTTGTTCTAACCGCTAGATAAATGTTGCAGACCAGCAAAATGGTGATTTTTGTGCACCATGTGAATGTTATATGAGGCCCAAATTAATCGGAAATTCAAAAATGACCAAATTATAAAGCCATGCATACAACGAATTCTTTTGATTCTATCCATTCACAGAAGGAAACTGTATAAAGCCAGCAAAACCATTTGTAGCACTTTAGTGAATGTTTACCAAGTAAGAGCATGTCAAACCCTGTTTTCATCCTTTAAATGTCTTAGAAATGAATATTGTATGCGTTGTTTGGACATCTCTTATGACCTGTTCAGTTTCTTCTTTTTAAATGGCTAATATTGTGTTTTTATTTTGTGTTTGGCAATCATTTGTCTGAATGTAGTTTGGCTTTTTAAGTTAATGTTGCATTAGGGCTTAAGTTCCTGCGCCATCACAGGGGATTTTAAGTGTTATTTAGTCAGAAATATTATGCCAAATAAATCTTTATAGTTTAGATAATGGCGGTATTAACATTGGCACGCTCAATATTAGGTTGGCATCAGAATTTATAAGGAACTCTTGATTATACCTCTTGCCCTGGTGATCCTGTTCCAGCCTTTAATGCCCATTTTAGCGTGTGTTTTTTTTTTTTTTTTTCTGAGGACAGAATGTACTTCCTTTGGGTTGTGCATGTATAGATATTCTTGTTGTTGATATGAGCTGTGTATAATCTGACAAAGGATAGGTCTTAAGATAGTAGTCTATTCTAGCTTGCTGCACTGTTTGAGGGCTCTTTAGCTAGGTAAGCAAAAGAGATTCAAAAACGAGTGGACCATTTGGTGTGAACACATTTGTTTTCCACATTAGAGTTACGTAATCAGTCCTTTTTAGTCTTTTTTCAATTGTGCTGTATCTGAACAGTGTGCTTGTGTTGAAAATATTTAAAACATTTTTAAAATGTGCCTTTAAAAAAAAAAAAGCAAAAACTGAAACACTGAAAAAAATATTTTGCTCTGTTATATTTCTTTTATTTTATTTTGTACATTGTCAGTGTGGAGTGTGTAGTGTTTTGAATGGTTAAAACTTAAATTGGACTGGGTTAAGAAGATGCTGTGGGTGTGATTTAGTTTTGCTTCACTTTTATGTGGGTGTGAATGTGTTTGTTTAAATGTCGTACATACTAGTTCGAAAAAACTGAAGTGTGTCGTCATGATAGTGAGACATAAGCTATTTTTTCAGAGACCAGTTGCCATCATAGAAACATGTTTTTTTTTTTCCTTTAATAAATACCACTTAAATTGTAATTTTTACAGCTTTGTTTAAAGACAAATAGCTTTTTTATTTTCTTTGTCTGAACAATTTGAGGATTATGCTGCATTGCGGTGTTTTCACCATGCGGTGTATTTGTGTTGTGCTTTTATAACTGCATAAAATAAAAACCCGTTTAATCCATCAAATGTTAATCGTCGCCTATGGACATTGGATGCATCGGGACATTTTAAATCATTGTGTAAAGCATGAAGTGTTTGTTTCTGGGAGGTCATCTCTGATTTAAGAGTCACGTTGTCATTGAACTGCACACACTAAAACAATATGTGAGCTCACCAGTTCTGCATCACTACACTGTTGTCTTCTCCAGTAATTAATAATGTACATCTGTTTGACCTTGGTCTCTCAGTATCATGTGTAAATATGGATTGTAAATTATCGCTTTAAACTTGTACATCTAGCAGTCGCATGGAGATTTGCTTTCCGTCACCCTCTCCCCACCAAAGATATGAACGTTCCCAATTGTGACTGTTGATGAACATTTACAGTTGTTTGTTCTGTAAAAAGACTTGTACACACTCTTTCATGTCAAATGTAAGATGTAACTATTTGCTTTAAACAGTACAGCACCAATAAAAGAGGAAAACTGAAATAAATATTGCTTTTGTTGGTTGTTGAAGTGTCCTATTTTGGGGGGGGGGGGAGTGTTGAATGTTTTCTGTGTTCTGTAAATTATATATTAATTACAAGTTAGTGTAAATTTATATTAATTGTTAATTTATCTATTAAATTAAATGCATTTGAATTAAACTTTTACTTGCATATAAATTAGATTTTAAATATATTATTTATTTATTTATTAAATTAAATGTGATACATTCCAAAGTTCATGTATTTAAAAAAAAACATTTTAATTAAACTTTTAATATTTTACACATTTTAATTAAACTACCTAAATATTAAATATAATTCAGATTTTAAATGTATTAATTTATTTAATATTATTTTTATTTAATTTTATTAAATCATTTTATTATTATTTGTTAATTTTTTTATATAAAATCAATTTTATACATTTAAATGTTTATGTATTTATTTTTTATTTAATTTAAATGTGTGTGCTAAAGTGCATACATTGTAATTAAACTATAACAAATATGAAATATAAATTAGATGTATTAAATGTATTATTTATTAATTTTGTTGTTAAATGTAATTGCATACATTTTAATCAAACTATAAATGTGTTCACTCTAATTCAATATTTGAAATGAGTAGCCAACATATTATGAATATGATTATGAAGGGAATTGTAAAAACTTGGCCCCCCTTCTCAGCAACTTTTTTAAAAACATGGCAACCCAATTTAGTTCACGCGATATTCGGCGAGATGTGAAAGTTCAGCCACTCCACGTGGGTGTATTCATCATGGTACAGGGGAAGTAAATAAGTTATTGCAGAGAAGATAGATGATAGTGCTGTCAGAAATAATTTGTCTAGTTTAATAACATTTATTGTAAATCATGCCGATGTTGTACAAATGATAATTGTTACATCCTCACTGGAGAGTTTGTAATGCCATGCTGAGGTCTTGTCGGATCATTCATATTTTATCACGTCATTTATCCCATTTCTCAAAATCAAAGGTACGTTTCTTAATGCGTTCTGCTGTAATGTAATTAATGAATGTTCTTTTAGTGTTCACCGTAATTTGAAATGCTCTTCAGGGTGGCCAGGTCCAATATTAAAATCCCGTGTATTTTGCATATCCTGCAAGATGACTGAGGATTCAATCAAAGCATTGAAAAGACCAGCAGCAGATGATCCGCTCGTTGAGACTGAACATGAAGACAAGAAGCTTAAAACAGACCAAGATGAGAAGAAATACCCCAAGAAAAAAGTGGCCCTGCTGATGGCATATTCAGGAAAAGGCTATTATGGGATGCAGGTGAGTTGTGATAGTGATTTATATATCGCTGTCAGTGTGGGGTGTGACTCTACTACTAATATCTTCAACAGAGTGATTAAATCATAATTAAACGATACAAGGATGGATGAAACTGCTTATTTAATTAATTCAAATAAATATTATAAAACTGCATAATTGTTCTTGATCTGACCCAAGTACTTAAATGGACAAGTTTTTCATACATTAGTCGTAAAATGTTGATGTTAAATCCATCATTGTTTTAGAATTGTCCTATATTCTATACGAAGAGTTCAGATGCAAAAGCCTCTAAATGCCATTTGAAATTTTCTTCTTTAATGATGATTTTTATCAAAAACTTGTATATTTAAGTTCAGTAATTTCACTTAAATAACAATTAATAGGTAATTAGCATTGCCATTTAAGTGAAATCACTGAACTTTTATCATTCTTATCATTATCATTCTAGAAGAAAATTTCAAATGGCACTTTTGGATCTGAACTCTTCATACATTATTTAATGCAATTAAATCACTATTAACTAATGTTATCAATTACTTAGTAGTACATTGATTGCTGTCTGTCCCGAGTATTAATATTTCTCCTGTTCATCCAGAGAAATGCAAAGAACTCTCAGTTCCGAACCATTGAGGATGAGCTGGTCGCTGCTCTTGTCAGAGCTGGCTGTATTCCCGAGGGCCATGGAGATGACATGAAGAAGATGTCTTTCCAGCGGTGTGCACGAACGGATAAGGTGGACACTTTAACCTAGTGCATTTTATTATTATTATTATTATAGACAGGGTTATCATAGTTATTGCTTAAAAACATAAAAATGTTTCTGTTACTTGCAATCAAATAAATGTTAGCTGACATTAAAAATGAATAAAACTATAAAACTGATTTGATACCTTTTGAAAATGATTTGCTGACGTGAAGCGGAGGGGTCTTGAATCATCCTGAAGGGGTTGTATTCGCTATAACAACCGCCTCGCTCTACATAATCCCTTACATACATATTATTTGAAGTATATTTGCTATATTTCTTGTCATTGCATTGACAGGGTGTTTCTGCTGCGGGTCAAGTCGTGTCTCTGAAGGTGTGGATGATTGAGAACATCCTGGATAAAATCAACGCTCATCTGCCATCTCACATAAGAATTTTAGGTCTAACCTAGAGGTTTCTTTACATACAGTATTTCCTAGAAATCTGTATTATTTTAGTATCATTTATATACTATTATTGCATTTATATATTAATAATATTGTGCTGTTTTATTTTCATTTTTTCAGTTTTCATTTTAATTTTGCTTTAGTCTATGTCATGTTTATATATATTTCTATTTAGGTTTAATATTTTTTTTATCTTAGTTTTAGTCTAATTTTCAATATTATTTTAATATTTATAACCATTTTTAATGGTTGTAGTTTTAGTTAACAATATCAATACTGTGCATCACATTTACATTTTCTCAAATTTGCAGGATACAAGAGAGTCACGGGTGGCTTCAATTCCAAAAACAACTGCGATGCCAGAACGTATTCCTACATGCTTCCTACTGTGTCTTTCTCGCCGAAGGACTACAACCAGGAGGACACGTCATTCCGTGTGAGTTCAGAGACCCTTCAGAAGGTCAACCATTTGTGTGGCCTGTACAAAGGCACCCACAACTTCCACAATTTCACTTCGCAAAAAGGTCCTCGGGACCCCAGCGCCAAGCGCTACATCACCCACATGTCCTGCGGAGAGCCCTTTGTGAGACAGGAAGCTGAGTTTGCTGTTATCACAGTGAGAGGCCAGAGCTTCATGATGCATCAGATCCGGAAGATGATCGGCCTTGTGATCGCTGTAGTTAAAGGATATGTGGATGAAGGGGTGATCGAGAGGAGCTGGGGAGAGGAGAAAGTTGACATTCCCAAGGCTCCTGGGCTGGGATTAGTGCTGGAGAAAGTGCACTTTGACCGCTACAACAAACGCTTTGGCGGAGATGGCATCCATGAGACGCTGGAATGGACTGATGAAGAAGAAGCCATCGCTGCTTTTAAGGACAAGCACATTTATCCGAGCATCGTGGAGACTGAGCTCCTGGAGAAGTCCATGGTGAACTGGATGGCTACGCTATATATCCATGATTTTGAAGCAACAGCCACAGGAAACCAAGAGCACAAAGTGGGTATTGTTGAACTGTGTGTGTGTGTGTGTGTGTGTGTGATTTTATTATTAATATTTTTTTTATATTATATTATATTTATATAAAATGTATCACTCTCTCACTCTCATTTCAATTCAGTTGTCCTTTATTGGCATGACAATTCTATTAACATAAAATCTCCATTTTTTTCACCTAAAAATATTCATGTTGTGTTTTATTGTTTGACTTTCTGGGTATGTCAGGGTAAAGTGTTTACAATTATGGATAATTATCCAATATTTGAAATACTTTTAACCTGGGGTAGCTGGTGAGCAAGTGTTGCTCTGTCTCTACTTTTCTCTCTGAGATCATTGAAAAAAATTTTTTTGTTTGTTTGTTTTTCAGGATGATGACGAAGATGGAAACGCATCAGACTGAATCACTGAGACGAAGACATTCTTTTTGTTAGATCTTTTATTTTGGTTTTTACTTGTGTGCTAATATTCAGTTCCAAAGTTTAAACTGTAATGATAATTCTGAAATAAAACATTTTTTTATGTCTTGAAGTTTTCGTTTGTTGAACAGTTTTAATGTGTATTTGCAACAACAACAAAAATACGAAGAGTTCAGATGCAAAAGCCTCTAAATGCCATTTGAAATTTTCTTCTTTAATGATGATTTTTATCAAACTTGTATATTTAAGTTCAGTAATTTCACTTAAATAACAATTAATAGGTATTTATCATTGCCATTTAAGTGAAATTACTGAACTTAAATGGTAAATGGTAAATGGACTGCATTTATATAGCGCCTTCATAGACCTAATGGCCACCAAAGCGCTTTACATTTGCCTCACATTCACCCTTAAACTTAAATATACAAGCTTGATAAAAATGATCATTCTAGAAGAAAATTTAAAATGGCACTTAGAGGCTTTAGTACGGAGGCGTATTGCATTCACTTGAAGAAAAAAAATCTACTCTGTTTTTCTGAATTAACGAGTTAATTTTTCATGAGAAAAAAAATTTGCTCTGTTTTTCTGAATTAATGAGTTAATTTTTCATGAGAAAAAAAAATGTTGCTCTGTTTTTCTGAATTAACGAGTTAATTTTTCATGAGAAAAATTTTTTTTGCTCTGTTTTTCTGAATTAACGAGTTAATTTTTCATGAGAAAAAAAATTTTGCTCTGTTTTTCTGAATTAATGAGTTAATTTTTAATGGATTTTTTTTTTTTTGCTCTGTTTTTCTGAATTAATGAGTTAATTCAGAAAAACAGCAAAAATAAATTTTCTCATGAAAAATTAACTCATTAATTCAGAAAAACAGAGCAAATTTTTTTTCTCATGAAAAATTAACTCATTAATTCAGAAAAACAGAGCAAAAAAAATTCTCATGAAAAATTAACTCGTTATTTCAGAAAAACAGAGCAAAAAAAATTTTCTCATGAAAAATTAACTCATTAATTCAGAAAAACAGAGAAAAAAAATTTTCTCATGAAAAATTAACTCATTAATTCAGAAAAACAGAGCAATTTTTTTCTCATGAAAAATAAACTCATTAATTCAGAAAAACAGGGTAGATTTATTTTTCTTCAAGTGAATGCAATACGCCTCCGTACAAATGTCTTCAGCAAAGGAAAAAAGCCTTGACATTTGAATGTGACTCAATGGAGGAGACATCCATTCGCCCTCTAGAGGAAAACACGTGGTCAGGCATCACATTTACAAAAGTAAAATGCACGAAACCTTTATACAAGTCATTTGTGACTAGAACGTGCCATCTTTTTAATTTAGTGCATTAAAGAATTGGCCATTGACCGACTACTTAATAATAGACAATTAAATAAAATTCCTTTAATCAGTAACTTAGATGTCTATACAGCATTAACTGGAATTGAATCAGGCATTAAATTAACTACAGTTACTTCCGATCATGCAAGGCATGAAAGTTTTGATAATATTCATAATCGAACTAACTGTATTGTTCCCGGTTACAGTGTGAGACGTAGATCCGCTCCAGTCCACCAAGAGGCAGCAGAGAGTGTGTTTATTGTTTGGGACGGGTCGGGATATGTGTGTGTGGGAAGGAGTTCTGCAATGAAATAGGAAGAACAACACCTGTGGGAGAGGTTTGGGGAATGATAAAAAGGATGGGAGGAATAAGGAGGGAATGGGATATTCCAGTTTTAACTACTGAGGAAGGAACAGCAATCTCTAATAAGGATAAGGCAGAGATGATGGTAAAAGCATTTGTAAAAATTCACAGTTCAAGCAACCTATCAGAAATATGCAAAATGAGAAGGGAAAGAACAATGAGTCGGCATCCAGATGTGTTAAAATGGAGGGATAAAGTTGAGGATAAAATTGATGAACCTTTTAATATGGCTGAGTTGATGAGAGCAATAAACAGAGCTAAACCGACATCTCCAGGGAAAGATCAGATATGCTATGTGATGCTAAAACATCTAGGGGAAGGAGCGCTCTTAAAGTTGTTGCACTTTTATAACAGAGTGTGGGAGGAGGGTAGATTACCAGTAGCATGGAAAGAGGCAGTAGTCGTTCCAATAAGGAAACCTGGCAAAGATCCTTCTAAACCCAGTAGTTACAGACCAATTGCATTAACATCAAATGTATGCAAAATTATGGAGAGGATGATAACAGAAAGGTTATCGTATATGTTAGAAATAAATGGAAAAATGGCAAATTATCAAAGTGGTTTTAGGAAAGGAAGGAGTACCATGGATTCGGTGATTAGATTAGAAAATGAAATAAGAAAGGCTCAGGCAAATAAAGAATCAGTCATCACAGTGTTTTTCGATATAGAAAAAGCGTATGACATGATGTGGAAGGAAGGGTTGTTAATAAAGTTGCATTTGGTGGGGGTTGGTGGCAGAGTCTTTAACTGGATAAAACATTTTTTGTTTGGAAGAAAAATAGAAGTAAGAATAGGGTCAGACATGTCAAGTCAGTACGAAGTGGACAATGGAACGCCTCAAGGCAGTGTGATAAGCCCACTACTTTTTATCATTATGATCAATGATGTTTTCACAAAGGTGCCAATGGATATAGGGAGGTCACTGTTTGCGGATGATGGGGCTTTGTGGAAAAGGGGAAGGAATATGGAGTATGCAATTAGTAAAGTACAAGGAGCAATTGATGAGGTGGTGGAGTGGGGATATGATTGGGGGTTTAAGTTCTCAGTAGAAAAAACACAAACAGTCTTTTTCACCAGGAAGCAAATTAAGGAAGGGTTGAAGTTAAATATGTATGGGAAAGAATTAGAAAGGGTTGGAACATTTAAATTTTTGGGAGTTATCTTCGATTCTCGGTTAACATGGGCAGATCACATAAAGAAAATAGAAGGAAAATGTAAAAAAGTTATCAACGTGATGAGATGTTTGACAGGCAGGGAATGGGGAGCAAGTTGCTCTGCATTAAAAGCAATATATGTGGCATTGATAAGATCCGTGTTGGATTATGGAAGTGTAGCTTATGGGTCAGCAGCTAAAACTCAACTACAGAAGCTAGACATGATTCAAGCACAGGCATTAAGAGTGTGTAGTGGTGCTTTTAAAACTTCACCGATACCTGCACTTCAAGTAGAAATGGGAGAAATGCCGTTAGCATTAAGAAGGAGGCAGCTGATGACAAACTATTGGGCCAATTTGCAGGGACATAATGATTTCCACCCTACTAAGGTAGTGTTGCAGGAGACATGGGAGAATACAAGATTTAATGGAGATAATTTAAGTCGAGTAGGTAATGAGATAGCAAAAGAATTTGGAGTATTTGAAATGAAGTTGAGCCCTGCAGTTGTATATTCGACGGTGGCTCCATGGGTACTTGTATGGCCAGATATTGACTGGTATTTGTTAGAGCTAAAAAGAAAAGAAAAAGGTCAAATAGATATGGTTGGAGCATTTAATCACCAAATAAATAAAGAATATAAGGACTTCATACATATATATACAGATGGTTCTAAGAAACCTGAGACAGGAGTGACAGGATATGGGGTGGCAATACCTGCAAAAGGAATAGGAATTAATAGAAGAACATCAGATTTTTTGGGAGTATATACAGTGGAAATGGTGGCCGTGTTAGTTGCGGTAAGGTGGGTGGAAATAACTAGGCAAGAAAAGGTGCTGATATGCTCCGATTCATCCTCAGTACTAATGAGCTTAAGATCTTTTCATTCTGGGAGCCGTCAGGATATATTGTATGAAGTCCTTCAGTCAGTGACAAGGATAAAAAATCAAGGAGGACAGGTACAATTTATGTGGGTTCCAGCACATGTAGGGGTGAAAGGGAATGAGTTAGTGGATGAATTGGCGAAAAGGGCATTAAAGAAGGAAAATATAGAAATGCATATTAAAATAAGTAGAGCAGAGGTTAAAAGTATTGTCTGGGAAAAATCTAACCAAATGTGGCAAGAAAGATGGGACAGAGAGGAGAAAGGAAGGCATTTATATCAAATTCAAAAGAGTGTAAAAATAACTAGATTAGGTGGTGGGCACAGAAGAGAGGAAACAGTAATGACAAGGTTAAGGTTGGGCCATAGTGCTTTAAACAAATCACTGAAATTGATAGGAAAACATGAAACAGGCTTGTGCGAGTGGTGTCAGGAAGTAGAGTCAGTGGAGCATATAATAATAAGATGTAGAAGGTATGAGTCACAGAGAGTTATAATGAGAAATAAATTGAGAGAATTAGGGGAACAGGAGCTAACATTAAAAGGAGTGTTGAATATAGGTGATAGAGCACAGGTTAGGATATTGTTAACTTTTTTAAGGGAAACAGGTTTGTATGATCGGATATGAGGATAAATAGGGATATAGGAAAAGTGTGAAGGGAAATCAGTGATTACGAGTAATATGGTGTTTTTTTTTTTTTTTTTTTTTTTTAATTTTAATGTGGAAATTAGATTGTAAGCCTAATGTCTGATTCACACTCCGAAGCAGAAGGTGGCGGTAATGCACCAAAAGCTGGTTGCCAACCGCCGGTAAAAACAAATAAGAAGAAGAAGAAGAGATATGTGTGTGTGCGTGTGTGTAGACCGGGATCTGACTGAGATTTTAGGGTGGTGGCTGTTTGTTTAACTGGAGCAGCAACAACAGAAGTAAATGCGCTGGAATGCGGTCGGCTAGCTAACTTTACTCCGTCGAGTTTTAGCGAAAATTCACATTATCGCTCAACTTTTATCGACTCATCTGTTGTTTTGTGCGTGTTGAATTTTGAGGACGGGTCATCCCGGTCAGGTAAGCTTTTCTTAATTCATTCACAGATAAAGCTAGCGGGATAGCGTGCTAAGTGAACACAGATGCAGGCCATAAAGTGTGTGGTCGTCGGGGACGGGTGAGTTTTCCCATTTTTTTCAGTATTATATTTGTCTTGGAGTAATGTTTTACAGGTATCAGCCGTTTCTTGGTTTGCTCTCTTGTGTTTTGAGTTTAGGTAACTTGAGGGCTTTTGATTTGGGAACTTTTCGTGCGTGTTGAAACGTTAGCTCACAGAAATTTTAAAATCACGTCTATGGAACTGCTATGTGTATACCGTTAAGTTATACAAGTTAGTTAACTTACATATGAGAGGTAGCTTACAAAGACGAATACAAGTTCCCATTTGCTATATATAACGTTATAGCTCATTAAATCTGTTTTCCACTATGTAGCAGCGAAAAGTACTTGTGAATGATTCTGGACTTAAGCTTTTAAATGTCCGTGTACTTGTGGACTGAGTCAAACTGTTTTATTATTGTTTTTCGCACGGTGTTGCTAAACTAACCTTAGCCCTTCCCTAAGAGTTTTCCTTTAAATGTTACGTCATACAGTATACTTGAGCAAATGCTGTCTGTCTGAATGTGTGGGAGTGCTGCATGATTAATAAAGTCAACCAAACCGACTTCTATTATTCATATGCAGTGTCATGTTTAAAATAATGTTTTGCCCTAGTTCATTTTAATATGGATATGAATCATTGTTTTGCTGAAAAGCAAATATAGAAGATGGTATCAATTTATATCACACAATCAGATGTGTAATTGGTGATTTTTGAGATCTTTTATTTCTTCCCTCAGGGCTGTGGAAAAAACATGCCTTCTGATCAGCTACACCACCAATGCTTTTCCTGGGGAGTACATTCCCACTGTGTAAGGCGACCTCATTCTTAACCTGAGTTTCTTAAAGGGACAGTTCAACCAAAATGAAAATTGTCATTATTTACTCGCCACCATTTCTTTCAAACAACTGTTCTTCAAAATATTTTCCCTTTGTGTACTGCAGATTGAGAATCATACAGGGTGTTCTTGATCTGTTTCTCTCTTGTGAGTCCAGCTTCATTTGAGAACGTCCGTGCGAAGGTAAGCAGGCCCTTGGATATTTTGTTCTTTTAGTCAATGTAGACGACTTTCGAAATTATCACAATGAATGGAAAAGAGGAAGAAGCTCTAAAAATAGTCGTCTGGCTTGACAGATTGAGCAAATGTGATTTTAAAGCCTCAAAATAGCATGTTGATGCTGTAATGAAGCAGACAGAAGGTTCTTTTAAACTATTATATCTGTAAAATGTGACAAATGACATTTGCTGTTGCTGCTAATGAGTCTGTGGTGTTTATCCACGGGTAAAACATAGGTTAGGTTTGAAAATTGCACACTAGCATACTGTTAATATTTCTGGAATACAGCGTATGTATATTGTGCACATTTCCTCTACCAATTGAATGATTTTGTGTTCAATGGAAGCTCAACGTGTGGCTTTTTTTTCCCCCTCAACAGTGGTATCCAGAGGTCAGACATCATTGCCCTAACACTCCCATAATTCTCGTTGGGACTAAGCTTGATCTGAGAGACGACAAGGACACCATTGGAAAGTTGAAAGAGAAGAAGCTCACTCCCATCACCTACCCTCAAGGCCTCGCTATGGCCAAAGAAATAGGTCAGCACTTCAATAATACACTGCTCTTTACACGTGTGTATGTTAGGGCTGGGTTGACGATATTGCTGCATCGATTTTATTTCATCTTCAATTCAAAATCTCCATTTTAAATTGTAAAGTGCTCATCCGCGGTTGAGTATACTTCGCCAAGCCGTAGCTGTCTGGATCCACTTTAAGTTTTCTTTTGTTTCGGTTGCAGGAGCTGTGAAGTACCTGGAGTGCTCAGCCTTAACACAGCGCGGCCTTAAGACGGTGTTCGATGAAGTCATCCGTGCGGTCCTGTGCCCGCCTCCTGTGAAGAAAAGAAAGAGGAGGTGTCTTATCTTGTGAACTGACTGCACAGACAGCACCAACTGCAATCTGAGTTCACCTGAGAGGAGAACAATGGAGGCAGGGATGATGGGAAATGTGTGTTGGGGAAGAAACATACAGATATTTCTCTCTTGCATTGTAATTAGAATTACACCACTAACTAGCTGTTAAGACACCTGAGTATTTGCTTCTGAAGGATGGGACCAGCATTCATAGTTGTTTCCCATCATACATTAAGAAATTCCTGCTGCCTTCTAATGATTTTCTTTATTTTCCCCCTTATTTTGATGTTAAGAAACTAAATACTCCTTTCTGTTCCTGGAGCTGGGGCTTCCTGAATCTCTCCTGCAGTGGCTCTCTGATCACTTTGTGAGCACCACTGAACTGCAGGCTTCACTCAGTGTGCTGGAGAGCAGCATTCTGGGTAACCTGTCCCTTCAGGTAGAGGAGGGCAAGTCAAGGCCTTCTAAAGAGACAATCACTCAAACTGTACTACAAGCCACAGGGGAGGCAGGCCTTTCTGAAAAAGTAAGCTTTTGAGAACTTGTTTTTGAGAATGCTAATTAATAAGTAACCCATTATAGTCGGATATGTAATGCTGCTTTTGTGTTTTGTTGAATTCTTTCTCCACAGGATGTACAGTTGATTGTAAGTAAGTAAGTAATTAATTTATTTGTATAGCACTTTTCTCAGATGAAGATCACAAAGTGCTTCACAACAAAAGAAAGCATTTACAACTCTCATAAATACATTGCATCACAAAACAAAATAAAATACATAAAATAAATAAAATAAACAATACGTACACATTAGACCAGCCTAACCACCCTACAATCTAGTTAAAAGCCTCTTTAAAAAGCAGAGTTTTCAGATGATTTTTAAATTTTTCCACACAATCCTTCCAAGTATGGAAGGAGGCAAAGCGTTCCACAACCTGGGTGCAACAACTTGAAATGAACGGTCCCCCTTAGTTTTAAAATGTGAAAGGGGGACAACTAATAGTCTCTGGCCTGTTGATCTCAGACTACGTGAGGATGTACGCAGCTGTATCAGGTCAGAGATGTATGGGGGTGCCTGTCCTTGTAGGGCTCTAAAAGTTAGGACCAAAATTTTGAAGTTTATTCTAAGTTTCACTGGTAACCAATGAAGTGAAGCTAAAACTGGAGTAATATGTGCCCTTTTACTCGTGTGGGTTAAAAGCCTAGCAGCAGAATTTTGGACAGTCTGGAGATGACCAAGATCCTTCTTATTAAGGCAAATAAAAAGACTGTTGCAATAGTCTGAGCGAGACGAGATAAAAGCATGAATGATCATCTCCAACTCGGCTTTTGACACCAAGGCTCTTATCTTAGAAATGTTCCTTAATTGAAAGAAACGGTTTTTAATAAGATGTTTCGAGTGTTGTCAACAATGCAATGAAACTTATTCTGAAGACCGCACTGGTCTGGTGGACTATGCATTGGAATCTGGAGGTATAGTAATGATGTTAACTATGGGTGGATTTTAAGTAGTTTTTCGCTTATCATAGGACTGTACAACACCGAATTAGAGATTGGGAAACCTACCTATTATGTAATCGCCACGGGCCAATGGGAGTACAAAGGTGTTTAATAGCCAAAGCAAACTTTTCTGGAACTCTCAAAACTGACTTCAAATGAAGTTTGTTTTGCCCTGATTTTGTTTGTAATGTCACATCAGTTCGATCAAGTCCTTCAGACTGACGGCTCCATTGCAGCTTTCTTCAGCATTATGTTTAGTGGCTTGAAAATATAAAGTTAATGAAAGTTGGTTGGTTTAGTTGGTCGTGATAAGCGCTCATTGTCACAGCTGTGAACAACTCTTCTTATTCCATGAGGGGGCTTGCCGTCACGACAGGCGGACACGCGATACACGTCTCCTTGAAAGCCTGTAGAATTCAACCAATCACATGACTACTGAATCTCATGTTTACTTCGAAAGTGTTTCCCATTTTGTATGCCTTAGCCTCAGATGTCACGCCCACAGACTGTTGGCTGAACTTCTAATGCATGATACTAGCCTAAATGTGATGAGATCTGCATTTCTTTGTGTCTGTAGGAGGCAGCATCATAAGCACTCGTTGCTCAGAGTCCTTCAACACCAAAACAGCACTGATGAGTCTGTTTGGCCTCCCGCTGTGGTACTTCTCTCAGTCACCACGTGTAGTCATACAGGTCTGGAACTTTGGAGAATTCACATGTATTCATTTGTAAACTCAAGCTTTGATTTCCAATGGTCACTTTCTCTTGTATTTATCACTGTTTCTCTTCATCCATTTGTCCCTACAGCCAGACGTGCATCCTGGGAACTGCTGGGCATTTAAAGGTTCATATGGTTATCTGGTGATCGGCTTGTCCATGAAGATCGTGCCGACAGCCTTTTCTCTGGATCATATTCCCAAATCCCTGTCGCCCACCGGAAACATTTGCAGTGCCCCACGAGACTTCAATGTATATGTAAGTACTAAACTAGAACAAAATACACTACCACTCATTTGTTTGGGATAATTGATTGTTTTGTTTTTGAAAGTATCTTTTGTTCAGCAAGGCTGCATTTATTTGATTGAACTGACCAGTAGTGTATATCCACTGGAGGAAATGATATCCATAGTTTCCCAAACCTTTTTTAATTATTTTTTTTTATTATATAAAGTTTCCTGGTTTTCAAATGTCTACAGTGCTGGGTAGATTTGCAAATTGTACTCCATTACACATTTAAGGTAATGTAATTTGTATTTAGTAATGTAATAGATTGAGACTTTTGTCTGGACTTGTTTATAACATTGATTTGAATATAATGGTTTTTTTTTTCTCTAAAGATTAATATTTTATGCTGTGCTCACTATTTATAGTCGCCTAGCCTGACTAGTGGCTGATCTGTGTGCAATTCCACACAACTTTTGATAAAGGAAAATTTAAAGAATAATTTGTAGCCATTTATTATTAATTAATAATGAATTCAATAAAAAAGTAACTGTATTCTTACATAATTACAACCATTTAAATTTTGGCTCTGATTACATAATCCAGGTTACATATAAGCAGTTACTACCCAGCACTGACTGACTACTTTCAATATATTAGACAAAGGATGACTTGGAGTCAAAGTAAAAAGAAAGTCTCTGTTCTTTTAAAGGGTCTTGATGAAGAGCAGCAGGAAGAGGGGCAGTTGCTTGGACAGTTTGTCTATGAAGAAGATGGAGATGCTCTTCAGACCTTCTTGGTCTCTGTAAGTATTGTGATTTTGTTATTTCAGTCATTTAATCAGCCTGTTGCGTCATAATAATTAAATCAAGCCGTAACTGATTGGCTGATGGACTGTCATGGAGCCGGATGCTTTAAAGGAATAGTTTCCCTGGAAATTAAAATTATGAAATTTACTCGTCCATTACTTTAAAGATTAAAGAATACAAGGGCATGTAAATTTACAACAACAAAAAAAAGTAGTAGTTTAGCCACCTCTGTTGTTGAGACGGTGTTTATTTGTAGTCTTTTTTTGGATTTTGATGGCTCTTGCCTAAACTTGTAATTCTGTATCTCTGTCTTCAAGCAGGAGATGACGAGAGCTTTTCAGATCATTGAGATGAGAGTGCTGTCTAACTGGGGTCATCCTGAATACACTTGTGTGTACCGTTTCCGGGTGCATGGGAAGCTTGTTGATGAATGACTTACAGGCACTTGGGACATTATGAACTCCTGACAATTTGTCACTCATGCACTGGAAAAAAGAGGAATAGTCACTCTTAAGAAACAAATAATGTGCCATAGAGCTACACAGTTAATATACGATTGCATGCTGGTACATGTACTGTTAGGCCTCAAGGTCAAAATCGGCACTTGCACTCGTCTCATTCTGATGCATCACACTGTTTCCAATTTTGTCCGTCATCAGGGTTTATTTATTATTATTATTATTATTATTTAATATATCTGTTAGAATTCACCAGCAAAAAATGCATGACAATTCTACGAACAAACCAGTGCAGAATGTATTTTCGACTAAATGTAAATTTTGTTTATAAGTTCAATTTTGTGCTGATAAATAAAGTCTTTCTGCTTTGTGGCAAACTTCACTGCCAACAAAATAAATAAATAGTTATGATTTAATTATGTGTAGCATATGTATTATTTTTAAACAGTCTTTAGTTTAATAAACAGTAGACTTGCACTAAGAGTTAAGCACTAAACTGAGACTTTCTAATATGTTGTTCCACGTCAAAAATGAAACATTAAAATCATCCTTCAACTCCTGTTGTTTACGGTCTACTAAATGCCTTCTGTTGTTTGTTTGTTTTTGAAAGCAAATAAAAGGCCTTTTGGTAGAATTGTAAAGATGTCCATCTTTAGGTTGTGGCTTTTTGCAGTGAAATCTCTTTTTTATATAAAGTAAATATAAGAAAACATTGTATATTATTTCAAGATGGAGATTAACTGGATTGAAGCAACTATGGTTTACTTACCAATAAACTTTTTTTTGTTGTTAATTACATTTTAGCATTGTATAACATTGCATTAAATGTTGACCTTTTGAAGTATTATAATATGATCTTACTGAGACATTATTTGGAATATAGTGACAACTGGTACTTATTTGCATGTTATGTAAGTAGTCTTAAAAACATTTAATAATATCTCATTGATTTACATTACAGGCTATTTCAAGAATTTCATCTTACTTTTTGGCCATGAAAAGCACCATATCTTTTTTTCAAAAGTTTGGGGCTCGGAATAAAACCAGTTTCTCTCCTGGAGTGTGAACACCAATGTTCTCCTAGATCATATATTATTTGAGCCATAAAAGCCTGATGTATCAAATTATGAAACACTTCTGACACTTTAAAAAAAATTACACCGTTTTGTCTGAAGGTTCAATAAATCATTAATAACAATTATTTCTTATGCCAAGATTTACAGAGTTAAAGTCTAAAACTAAAATCTAATAGTAAAAAAAAAGAAGTCCTAATTTGAGGCAGGCCTGATGCAATTGTTGCCAACAACAAGAAACATGACAAGATAAACATAGAGGTGATGGATTGGAAGGACCACATCTGTGAACTTCACTGTTATGAACTGCATTGAATGATTCACTCTCAGCTGCTGTTCTAAGTAAACCTTTAGCTTATTCGAATTAGTTCAAATTGATTCACTTCATATTACACGTGTTTTATGTTTTCATAGTCAGGAAGAGTCAACTTTTAGTTAGCAATATTGTTTATTTACACAGGTTTATTTACACGGGTTTATATACACAGGTTAAAGGTGAGGAGGGATGAAGACCGTTCAAGCAGCAACTCTTAATCTCTTCGCTTCGCTTCTTTGATTCTTTCCTTCTCCTCCCGTTTCTTGGCCTTCTCCTCTAACCAGTTGAACAGAAAAAGTGGCACTTTTCTTTTGCACTTCTGGACGTTCACCTTGTGCTGGGTCTCATTCTTGGGACCGTCAGGAGAGGCTACACAGAAGAGCCTCCTCATGTGCTCATCGATCCGAGACGCCTCATCCGAATAGCCTTGTATGGCCTTGGAGTCTCCCATTTCATTGTGGTGGTCCTCTTCCTTAAATCGCTTGATCTCCTCCACTTCACTCGGCCACGCTTCCTCCTGCACCTCACTGTCCTTCTCCAACCAAGCAATCATCTTCCTCGGTTTGATTTCAGCCTCCGTTGGTGTTAGGGAGCATTCAGACTGTAAGTCACTGGCCAGGATGCTCTTCCCTGTGTCCTCCACGTACACGTTCTCCTCATCCTCGATGTCAACCAGAATAAACAGTTGTGGAGGTGTCTCAAACGGGGAAGAAGGGAACAGCGGAGGCTTCCGGCTGGGAGGACGTCTCAGAGCAACGACATCATCAGGTGCATGAGAGGGGCTCAGAGGAAGTCCTTTGGGAGGACGCACTTGGGATGAAGGGCACCGAATGGAGAACAGTTCATCAGGTGCTGGAGTGGGACGTGGAGGAACCGCCAATGGAACCATCTGAGGTTTTGCAGGACGCACTTGGGTTGAAGAGTGTCGGATGGAGAACAGTGCATCAGGTACTGGAGTGGGGCGTGAAGGAACAGCAAATGGATGCATCTGGGAGGAAGAGAGTCGTAAGGAAACAACCTCATCTGGACATGAAGGACCCGCAGACAGTTTAGGAAGATCCCCTTGCAGAGGAAGCGGAGAAAATGGCAGGGATAACTCATCCTCAGGTGCTGGAGTGGGACGTGGAGGAACAGCAAATGGATGCATCTTGGAGGAAGAGTGTCGGAAGACAACAACCTCATCTGGACATGAAGGAGCCACCGATGGTTTAGGAGAATCCACTTGCGGAGGAAGTGGAGAATATGGCAGGGTTAACTCATCCTCAGGTGCTGGAACTGGTTTCTCGGGATAAACGGATGGTTTAGTCACTGCCGGCAGAGGTTTGAAGCGAGGTAGCGCGAGGTGTCCGGAGACACTCGGCAGCATTGGGAGTTCTCCCTCTAGTGGCTTTAAGAAGGAAGATGTGATCGGTGAACGCAGAGGTTTGACCTCCGGCCTTTTGATCTTCCGTTCTCTCTTCTTCCTTTTCTTTTCTCCATCTTCTCTGCTATGTCCAGCCGCAACTCCTTGCTCTGCATACTGCTGTTCTCTCGGTGGTGTCTTTCTTCTGTGCAAGAAGTGAGCAAAACACCCAAACAGTTTACCGAACACCATTGTGGGCACCGAATTGCTGCAGCTGAATTCAATATTCGTCGTCAATTTCGCCAGAAAGTCTCAAAAGTCGTTCGATCTATGCAGTAATATCACACCAACAGCAGAAAAAGTCAAAGTTTGTGTTTACAGTTGCCAAGACGAAATCTCTCTATGATGTCACCACAGTTAGAACTCTGCTTCTGGAGCTGCTCAAAATCCGACAGCTCAAACACACACATTACTTATAATTAATTACTTATTAGGGTACTAATTATTTTCTAAATCCCATATCAACCTCGACCAGTTGACCAATACAACTTGAAACTGCTCTTTAAATTCTTTCAAATAAATAATCTAAAATTGCGTTAAACTGACCAAAGTAGGCTATTTAAAGGGAGAATGTTACATACATTTTTTACATGTTATGTTACTATGTTTTATAGCCTCTAATCACAAACCATGTCCAGCCTGATGGGCAATACGTTCTTTCTTTGTTTGATTTCTTTGTTTATTGTAATAAGAAAAAGTTCAATAAAAAAAAAGTATATGGTGTCACGTGACAAATATGACTTACTTATGACAAACTGCTTTCGACAACACCTTATTTTAGGCATTTACTTATTTTTAACTGAGTGAGTAAAAAGTTCAAATTAATTTATGATTATTTGGAATTGAACGTTCGTGAATAATCGCTGTTCTACCAGTTTATTAATTTTTCATGGTGACACCAGCTGACCACTAGGGGCGACCTCACCCTTTGACAGGAACACGACAACACTTAGTAGAGCAACAATAATGGCGCCGTCCAGGGACAGCAACGTGAAAGAAGAAAGCAGCCAGGTTTCATATAAGAAAGATATAAATACTAAAACAGATCGTATAATTCAAAACAGGAAACATGCTAACGACATATTCGACGTCATTGAATATTTACAGGTATGTGATTATTATTATTTCATAGTGGAGTCTCTTGAATTCGACATGGTTCAGTTCTATAAATTATTTTAATCAATAAACGTCAATTTGTTTTCCTACTTGCAGTCCGAGAAGGAAAAGGAAATCATTTTCGCCACAAATGCTTGCAGTAAGATTTTCTGTGAGTTGTTAGACAAAGGAGATCTCTATGTTGGTGAGCTGCCTAAAGAAGAGGACCTCATGCATGGTAAACTAACTTATTATTCGTGATTTATCTCAAGGGGCAAAGTGAACGGACATCTGGCTATCCAGTGTATTTCTATGTAGTTTACCAAAGGGGAAATCGTGTGTGTGTGTGTGTGTGTGTACTTGTTTGGGTCTCTTTCCAGGTGATCGCAGTGCTGAAGAGAAGTACCATATATTTATGAGACACCGTTACAACAGTTGTGTGGAACTACTTCTGGAAAATATAGGCCATGAAGATTTCCAAGTGAAGGTGAGTGAGTTAATTCAAGTTGCATGATTTAGTTTTTATAAACTTGGTCAATGAGCTTGGTTTTATTCAAAGTTTTTATGTCTATATATATATATATATATATATATATACATACATACATACATACATACAGAAAGTTGGATTAGAAACAAATGTGTAATACAACTACTGTGTAATACAAATGTCTATGAGATATGCATTAACTACCACACTAGCTTTAATTTTGTCTTGATTTTAAGTTTAGTTTGTTTTAGTAAATTATTGTTTTAGTGTTATTTTCTTTTGTTATTGTGTCTATATAGCTTTCATTATTTTTGTTATTTTGGTACTTTAACCTTTAACTTTCTGTATTCTGTTCAAGTTTGTCTTTTTTATATTATTTAAGCTAAATTTAATTTACCAAGAATTTGAATGGTTTTAGTTCACTATAGCAACGCTGTAACAGTGTGATATTGGTTTCCATTATTTTCATATTTTCAGGAGATGTCCCTCTGTGCCCTGATGAAGTTTGTTGCAGCGGAAGGCAAACACCCTCTCCAGAACCTGGACTGGTGTGAACACTACAACTTTCCCAGGGAGCTCATACTGGTCAGTTTAATTTATAACAACAACTGATATTGCTGTGTGTTTCTCACTGTCTCCATATGTGTCTAAAGTGTCTCGCTCTCATGTTCACAGGCCCTGGTGAAGCATCTTCTCTCGGAGAAAGAGGACATGTCACTGCTCATCTCCAGGTTTCAAGAGTTTATGGAGAAGGATGATGTGCGCTACTACGTCATGAGTTCAGTACGAGACAACATAACCAGAGTAATGGGAAGAAACAAAAGGGTGAGTGTGGTTTAGTTTACATAGCCATTTTTTTCTATAATGGTTGCATAATTATTTCCACATTCTATTTTCATCAGTTAAGCAGGCTTATTTTATCATTTAATCTGTATTTTTTAGGATGTGATTCCTGTATATCAGAATAATGTGTTCACACTCCTTTCAACTATCAACATACCCAGCCAAGCATCAGAAATGACAAATTTCCTTGTCAAACAAGAGAGTAAGTTTGTTTTTTAAGTCTCGTATTCTCACCGAGCATGCATTTATTTGATGAGAAATGCAGTTAAAACGGGAATATTGTGAAATATTATTACAGTTTAAGAATAACTTGATTTTAAAAATAAGAATTTTAAAATAAGATTTATTCCTCTGATGTCATTGTCACATGATCCTTCAGAAATCATTCTAATATGCTGATTTGGTGATCAAGAAACATTTCCTTTTATCATCAATTTTGAAAACAGTTGTACTGATTCTGATAATTAATACTTTTATTCAGCAAGGACACATTAATTGATTCAAGTGACAGTCAAGATATTTATAATGTTATAAAAGATTCTAAATCAAATACAAAGTAAATGCTGTTTATTTGAACTTTTTTTATCAAAGAATCCTGAAAAAAATGTATCACAGTTTTCACAAAAATATTAAGCAGACAACTTAAGTTTTCAGCATTGATAATAAGAACCATTATTAATAATTGATCGCCAATAATAATTGAGTAGCAAATCAGCATATTAGAATGATTTTCTGAAGGATCATGTGACACAGAGGACATGAATAAATTACACATCAAAACATATTAAAATAGAAAACAGGTATTTTTAAAATGAACTGTTTTTGCTGTATTTTTTATTTAAATAAATGTAGCCTTGGTGAGCATAAGATAAATCTTTCAAAAACATTAAAACTATTAATTATTCCAATCTTTGGACCACAAATGTACACTGTATTGTATAAAAAATGGTGTCTATGATTTTATATTCATAATTTTCTATGATTTTATAAGAAAAACATGAGGATTGGAAAGCAGCCAAATTAAAGGTAATCAAACTCTTATTATGTAATTAAGCATTTCTGCATGTATATTTATTCTGTCCAAAGTTCATTCTGGCATTCTAAATATCTTCATTTTTCATACAGGAGCATAAACGTGCTTTTGAGCAAATGTGGTTGGTGTTTCTCAAGTACAAGGTAAAACAACCCTATTTCTATAGATTCTCATTACGCTCTCCATGTGTTGAGGTTTTTGACTGTGTTGTGGGTTTCCTATAGTTACCTAGCAGCATGTACAAGAAGGTCCTGGTCATCCTTCATGAATCTATACTGCCACAGATGGGTGATCCCACAATGATGATTGACTTTCTGACCGCTGCCTATGACATTGGTGAGTTCAGGGTGCACCAGGAGATCAATGTTTTACTTTATTTGTGCAGTGATGGCATTTTCATTCATTAAAACATGTGTTTGATTTCTTTTGGATGTTCGTTTGGATGTTATGTTTTTATTCCTTCCTTTAGTGTTAATTGTTTTGTTTGTTTTTGTTCACAATGGTGGTTTATTGTAACAGGCCTAATAACTTGTAGCTGAAAAGTTAACAATTATTTGGCCTTTATGACATTTATCTGTGTTTGTGTTTGACTCAGGTGGAGCGATCAGTTTGTTGGCTCTGAACGGCTTGTTTGTCCTCATCCATGAACATAATTTGTAAGTATTAAACCATTTCAAAAGGCAGGTAAATCGATCTATATCCACACCTTTATATTTAAAAAAAAAAAAATCCATATATGTTTTTGTTGTATAGGGATTACCCAGATTTTTATAAAAAGCTGTACAATCTGCTGGATCCCTCTATCTTTCATGTCAAGTACAGAGCACGTTTTTTCCACCTGGCAAACATTTTCCTGTCTTCAACGTAAGTTCAATCTAAACACTTTTATTTTGACTAAAGATCGATAGAAGCAGTTTATCAGTGTCATGTTTTGATCTTAAATACAGTTGTAACCCGTATGTTCTGACCTCTCTGACAGACATCTGCCAGTCTACCTGGTGGCAGCGTTTGTGAAGCGCCTCGCTCGTCTGTCTCTCACAGCGCCACCTACAGCTCTCCTCATACTTCTGCCATTCATCTGTAATCTCATTCGCCGGCACCCCTCATGCAAAGTTCTCATCCACAAACCCAGTGCTGCAGAAGGTATCTCGCTAATGGATTCTTCCAATTATGTATTTTTATTTAAAATATTTATTTATTTAACAGTTAGTATTTGGCTATAAATAAAAACATATTTATTTCATACTTATTTAAAATGTATACATTTATTTATTCATCACACACACATACACACATATATATATACATATACTTTTTAAATTATTTTATTTGTATTATTTGCTATTTATTTACTTTATTTCACTTTTATACTGATTCATTTATGTAGATTTGTATTTTTATGTTGTTAGTTGTTTACATATTTCAATTGAATTTGTTTATTTAAATTTTAAAATATTTTGTAGACATTTATTTGTGTAAAATATATACATATTTTGTATATATTATATATATATATATATATATATATATATATATTATTTTGTTAATTTGTGTAATTTTATTTATTTTCTATTTTTTGTGTAGATATATTATTTTTTTGTTAAAATTAAATAAATATGAATTGTATCTGATTTTTATTATTTTTATATATATTATTCAATTTTGATTAAATAATATAAATTCATTTTTGTTTTTGTTCATTTTTATTTATACATTTATTTATTTAACCAATCCTCTTTATTTTAACCAAAATTTAAAAGGTGGAATACAGAAACTGTCATTTCTTTATTTTAATAATTGTTTTTGTCTATGATTTTAATCAGAGCCTTGCGATGACCCATATGTGATGGAAGAGAAAGATCCGGCTCAGTGTCATGCTCTGGAGAGCAGCCTGTGGGAGATCAAGGTAAGACCAAATCCAACACAACTCATATTGCTACTTGTTTGGAGCTGTCCTTTTTTATTGACATTGACAGGCTCACCATGCACAAACCTGTGAATATATCTAAAAAGATATCCATCAAAAAAGGTAAATCTTGTTTTAGACATTACAGAAGCATTACCATCCAGATGTGTCCAAGGCCGCCATGATGATCAATGAGCCTCTTTCTGAACAGGAGGATGACATCAGTGTACTGCTAGAGCTCTCTACTTTTGAGGTAATTAGCAAAATTTTATCCATAAACGACTAGAACATGATTTGTGAATATTGATAGTGGTGTTTGCCCTGTGTTGTAAGTTTAAAATTGTTCAACTAATCATTATGCCCTCCACATTTTGTATGGCAGCTAATGGAGCGAGAACTCAAGGCTGAAAGGAAGACGATACCGCTGGAGTTTGACACAGCCACCGAGCTCCTGAAGAGCTCCAGAGAGGTGCTTGGAGTGCACTTTACTCTGGAGTAGCCACACTTATTTGTGCTTTTTAAAAATCTATTCTATTTGTATAAACATTTTGTGCATCAACTATGGTAGTGCTTTCCCCAGTCTGAAGAAATAAACATTTGTACAAATACGCTTGTGTTGAATGTTTTGTGGGCTTTCACATACAGAGTACAGAGTATAGAGTACAAGTGATTTAAGTTACTTTAAGGATTAAAATAATTTTGAAATTCTGTAAATTAACTTTTGTGTAAATAAAACCTAATTATAATCAAAATATTACACAAAGATTCTTAGTTTAGTGCATAAAAACACCAAACGTAACTTTTGGTGGCAGGAAAGCCTTCTGTGCTGTTTCAATACTGTAATTTTGCTCCAACCCGGTAGGTGTCGCTAATATGAATCCATTCAGTCAAGTTCGCCAAAAACACAAGCGCTTTTCTGTTGCTGTAGTTCTAAATGTAGCTGTCGTGTTAGGATTTTTCGTTACCGTTTTTGCAATAATGTCCGCCGAACGTCTCGCTAAAATCCCAGAGGCTGATTTAGATCCCAATGGCGTCTTCAAATATGTCCTCATACGAGTTCACAGCAAAGATGATGATTCATATGTTGATATTGTGAGGGGATACGCATGGGCCGAGTATCATGGTAGGGTTACATTCAAATGTTTGAATGAATGTCAGGAGGAAGAGTATATGCACATGTATTAACAACACGTGCAATAGGTTTTGGATATGTCAGAAAATACATTTGAAAATAGTAATACTGCCTGCAGACTAGTAGTACAAATTACGATTATTTTGGCTATCGAATCGCTTAGTTTTGAATAAACGTTATGCCTTTCTAAAAAAAGAAATTTAAGTTTAAAGTTTGAGTAAAATAATATGCTATTAACTTGCTGCTGTTGTAGAATAGGGTGTTTTTTTAAACGAGTCAGTGTTTTGAACTAATCTTTTCAGCTCACGAATCGTTCTTGTTCACCTGCAGAAATGGCCAATCAACGAATCTTTTTAGTGAACTGTTTAAAAAGATTCCCCTCACTGGATTTAATCAAAATCCCCACCAGATTGAATGTTCATCATTTTGACTTTTGATTGGTCTCCTTTTTATACGTCTATTTGTATACAAACGTGATTTGGCCTTTTCTGTCTTATACAAAGCACTTTCATCATTTTAGACATGTAACAGTTTTTAGGAACTTTCGACTGGACGTTTGATTGGACGACAAAGGTTTACTTGTACAACTTACTCTTGCTACAAAAACCTTCATAAGGTTGTATCTCTTTAAGCTGATATCTATGACCGTGTGGCTGGAGAACTGGAGAGAAGTGGAGGATTGGATTGTGAGTGTCTTGGAGGTGGAAGAATCAAACATGAAAAAGACGCAAAGAAGATCCACGTCTACGGTTATTCCATGGTATGCATGATATTCCTGTGTATAATGTTGTATGCCTTGAAGGAAATTGTCCAATAATCAGTTCTTCCTCTTTTTTGTGTGTGTGTGTGTGTTCCAGGGATTTGGGAAAGCAAACCATTCTGTTTCCACAGAGAAGATAAAAAAACATTACCCAGACTATGAGGTGACCTGGGCAGATGAAGGGTATTGAGTCGGTTGCATGGAATCTATGACCGCTCAGAAGGAGGACTCAATATTCCTGGACTACTGATGTGCCAAGCCTGAGAAACAACAGAACTCTCTAGAACGTTTCTGTTATGAATGGGTGTGTGGATAAAACGCTTACTCCATTATTTTTGATTGGTTTTTAACTTCATGTGTAGATTAACACATGGCTACAAAGAGAGAAGAATGCACTTATGTTTATGGTCATTGGTCTTTATATTGGCAAATATAGGAAATGATGAAACAAAGCACAGAACAGGTTAGAGGGAAAGGTTAAGTACTTCATTAAAACCGTAAAAAGTTATATAGTTCAACAGTGACATCCTGAAATGATAATAAAGTGCTCTTAGAAATTTTGTCATGTATTTAAGTTGGTAAAATGTTGGGATACAACCTGCTATATCAAAGGCAAAAGTCTTAGTATGGGAAATTGCTGTGCTTAACCACAACAAAATGAATCTTAATGATTTCTAAAGCAAACCTGATCCCGAGGTTGTAAACCTTACCTGATAAACTTGATAATCCACTTCACATCCGTTTTGTCAGCATTTTTATTAGAAGATGCTATTAGGATATGCTATGACTTTCTTGACTATAAAATATTATGGCATAATGACATCCTGAGAATGTTAACATTCTGAATTTACAACATTAACAGAAATGGATTGATCAACACCATTTAATAAATTCATTTATTTTTGCCTCTAGTACTGAATCTGCTGCCTCTTTTATTGCATATATATTCAATTTCTTGTTTCTTTGCTTATCTCTTTAAGGTTTACTTGCAGGCCGAACCCTAGAAATGGTTTACTATTTCCTACTGTTAGTAAGACCAGAATGTGCAGTTCATTTTGGCTAAATAGTAACATTGTTTGGTAAAGTATCTGTGTTGAGGCCAGAATAAACTGACAGTCTGTGTGCTGCTTATTTCAGAAGAGCTGAGCAGATTTAAAGGAAAGGATCTGGCATTCGTCTGAGGGTTAAAATATAAAGTCCATGTATTATCTCTATGTGGAATCAGAAGGGAGGGACACAGGTGAAGTTCAGAACTTCATTTGTGGCAGCAGCGCAGTGCTTTTGTACACTGTATGCTGAAGAACAGCTCTTGTTCTGACTGATGTCTAAAGCAAAGATGGCTACATGTCACTGGATTCTCCTTGTGTGTCTCATGATGAAGGGTGAGATTTGCTGTTTTTGTTCCTTTCATTGTTGTAAATGTTTTTTTTGTTGTTTTTTTTTTTTTTTGGTTGATTGCAGTGTGTTTTTATTTCTCGTATTTTTTAGATTTTGTTGTTCAATTTTCTAATTGTAATATTAATATTTCTATAAATATGCTCCATTAAGTTAAATCAAATCAATATCAAATACATTTAATTAAGTTTTTTATTCTAAACTCGTCATAGCTGCAGAAGCATGACTTGATGCTTGCTGTCAAAAATTATATGAACTAAAAGTTATGATGACTTATGTTTTTACATTGCTTTAACTCATCAAAATAAGTTAATCAATTTTCAACTTTATTTTAATAAGTTGTACAAGGTTCAACTCATGTTTTAGGTTTTGTTTAATGTAATTTAAGTTGAAATTACTTAAACTTCCAAGTTGATTGTACTTAAAAGTTTACAGAATTTAATGTCTGGCATCTTACCTCATTGCATTTCTACATAAGAAATGTTGTCCTTGTATACAGGAATGCAGCCTCGTATCAGAGACCTTTGACTGCGTACTGTGTGCAATTACTAAATAGACACACCTTTGTGACAACTTGAAGATTTATAAATTCGTGGTTTTTATTTCTCAACCCTCATGAAGCCTAAACTCTCAATCACTTACTTTTCAGTCTTCAACTGTCCTATTTATTTCATTAAGATGTTTTATCTTGTTCACAGAATCCTGAAAAACTGATTCATGGTTTCCCAGCACAACAGTTATACATGTTTGTAGAGCAGCAAATCAATATATTAAAATGATTTCTGAAGGAGCATGTGTAATTCCTAAAAGCTTTCATAATCGTAGAGTAATAGCACTGTGATGTCCATGTTTTGGATTCTATAAGCACAACTCTGCGAAAGGCCAATATGTGTCTTCATCATTACTCATATTCGACAGCTGCCGCACTGGATCGGGAAGACTGCAGCGGCACCCCAGAAGACAGATGTGATTTTGTTTGTGACTGTAAAGACTGTAGTGATGAGCAGGACTGTGGTAAGATACTGAAATTCTGTATATTCATACCTTCTGGAATGCAGTCATATATTTATATATGTCATTCGCCTCTTGACATTCATGTTTTTACTGGTTGAATACCAGGTTATGGAGGACGAGAGTTTGTGTGTGATTTTGAGCACGAGGGGAAGTGTGGATGGACTGAAAATTCAGAAGAAGGTGTGTATATGTGGCAGAGACAGCAGAGAGGAAACACTCTTCCTGACAGTGGGCCGTCCTCCGACTACACCACTGGCACTTCCACAGGTACATGACAATTCAGTTTACCCTTCTGTTGGTTTTAGAAAGCCTTTCCAAATCCAGTGATAAATTTACTTGTGTTAAATTAAACTGAAGACCTTATTCAGAGCAGCACCCTATGGCTGTGAGGGATAGACCTACTGTTTTTTGTTGTTGATGTTTATCGTGTATACATATACAGAAGAAACTCGAAAAATTTGAATATCGTTCAAAAGTTTATTTCAGTTATTCAACTTAAAAGGTTAAACTAATATTACATAGACTCATTACATGCAAAGTGAAATATTTCAGCCTTTATTTATTATATTTTTGATGAATATGGCTTACAGCTTATGAAAACCCCAAATTCAAAATTAGAATATTGTACGTTAATATAAATCGTTTTGATTCCTGAAATAAAAATGTATCATGGTTTCCACAAACATTTAATCATCCCTGTTTTTAACTTTGATAGTAAAAATAAATGTTACTTGAGCAGCAAATCAGCAAATTTTAATGATTTCTGAAGGATCATGTGACACTGAAGACTGGAGTAATGATACTGAAAATTTAACTTTATCATCACTGGAATAAATTAACATTTTAAATATATTAAAATATATACAAGTGATTATTACTGTATTTTTGATAAAACAAATGTAGCCTTGGTGAGCATAAGAGAATACCTTTAAAAATATTTAAAATCTTACCAACCAATGGTAGTGTAAATGGTCATGATTTTTTTTTTCTGCATGTTTTTTAGTTTTCTAATTTAGTCTATTGCTGCATTTAATTATTATACAAGAATTACTAATTATGTTTAAATGGTTTTGTTTAAAAATATTGCAGAAACTATTTTAGTTAATTACCATAAGCATCAGGTATTGTGAACTAATAATTGACATTTTTTACAGTGTTTATTTATAAAGCATTTTCATTTCTAAATATATTATTATTCATTATTAATTTAAACTCATTCGTAATACATTTACTAATTTTATAGTATAAATTGATACTAATTTAAGATATGCCACTTCAAGTTGCTTTCAGTTAAAACAGCTCAAAACACGCATTAGTCTATGACTAGGCCTTGACTGTGAAACCGGCCAATAGATTATTAAATGCTGTGTACAAGTTGTATTCATTGTTACATCATTCGACCTGATACATTGACTAATGTTAACAAATTGAATCTTATTGATAAGTGATATCAAGGTTTCTTTTCATGTAATATTTCTGTGTTTCTCAGGCTGGTTTATGGCAGTGACAGCTGTGACTTCAGATGCCCCGAGAACTGCTGTGCTCGTGTCCCCTACAATAAAACATTCCTCTCCTACTTGTCGCCTTCGGCTCAGATACTTCATCTGGGACTCAGGTTCACACACATACTAGCACATTCAAAACTGCATCAAATATGGACTAATTAACCTGTAGAGTAGTATTAAATAAAGATTACTCAGAGGAAACGGACACATCTAACCGTATAGGTTGTTGCTTCAACACTTGTGAATTCAGTTTGTGTGTGTATGTTTTAGGTTACACAGGGCTGGGTGATGCCCCTCTGTGGGGGTCAGTGTTGCAAACTGGCGGCGAGGAAGCTGTAGTTTGGAGGCCAGAGAACTCAAGCTTCCGAGGCTGGAGGGAGGCCACCGTTTACCTTGGCCGTATTCCGGGCCCTTTCCACATCCAGCTTCATTCCAGACGCAGTGAAGGGAAGCAGGGAGATGTGTCCGTCGATCACATGGAATTTCTAGATTGTGCCCTGCCAGGTAAGAACGAATGGAAAAAGGTCATTCACATATTGTTTTGTACATTTACACAAGAAAAGCTGGAACAACCAGATTTTATTTTATTTTATTTTATTTTATTTTTTTAATAAATCAAGGCCCAAGAAGCCCTATTTTACACTGAATTTAAAACAGCTAAGGGGCATCTTTAGGCATGACGTGGAGTCCTAAGTATTTTCATTTTAAAATTTAGGAAAGATTGATTTAATTTGTCTGATGAGTTAAATGCAGTTTCAAAGTGATGATTTATTTCCCCCAAAATATTATGAAGAATGTATAAAGAAAAATCCACAGTACTGTTTTAGTACTTTATTTTTTAAAGAAATTAATACTTTTGTTAAACATTTAAAACGTCACAAAAGATTTTTATTTCAAATAAATGCTGTTCTTAAATCTAAAAATAAATTGGAGAATAAAAAAAAAAAGATTTTCACAGATTCCACAAAAATGTCTTTATACATATTACTGTTTATATTAATATATTCAATTTTTATCAAATAAATGCTGATTTTTTTTTTTTTTTTTTTTAATCGCATTTATTATCTGCATGCCTTAAAAGTCAACAACTGGGCATCCATGCTTTTAATGGATAACACCATCAGTGATGAGGATGTTTGGATTCTCCCTCTCTCTTTCAGTTCCTCCTGAAAGTGGAACATGCATACCTGGTTTTGTGACATGTAAGCGGAAGGGATGTGTGGAGGACTATAAAGTGTGTGACGGCACGGATGACTGTGGTGATGGAACGGATGAAGAGAACTGTGGTGAGGACCATAATCTAGTGAGAGAAATCAATGATGTATTGATGAGGAAATATGTTCATTCATTTAGTCTTCAGTGCATTTGATTCTTGAGTTAGATCGCCAACTGCTGGTCTGGAGTCATAATCACTGATAATGTTTGTTATATTGGTGTGTATTAATTATGCACAGAGCAGAACATGAGCTGTGACTTTGAGGATGGTCTTTGTGGATGGGACATAAGGACAATATCACCCTTGAAATGGACAAGAACAAATCAGATGAATATATCACTTTCTGAGCCTCAAAAAGGACCTGGTAGAGACCACTCAACTAACACGATGACGGGTATGTGCGGGCCAGTAAGCAGGGTTATTATAGTTTCAAAATTTTCATTTATTATTATTTATTTATCTTAGTTTTTTCTATTTCGTCTAGTCGCATTTCAATGTTTAATTCAGGTGGGTTAGAATGATTTTATAATATACCATGTACACCACTGTTGGAAATAAATTAATACTTTTATTTTAGCACGGTGAAATTAAATTGATCATGACAGTAAAGTATAATGTTGCAAAAGATTTCTGTTTCCAATAAATGCTTCTCTTTTGCAATTTATACTAATCAAATATGTTTCTGTATCACAGTTTACACAAAATATTAAGCAGCACAACTGATTTCTAAATTCATAATAATACTGTTTCTTGAGCAACAAATCAGCATATTAGAATTTAAAATATTGAATTTAGAATTTTAAAATAGGATAAAATGATGCTGAAAATTCAGCTTTGCCGTCACAGGAATACATTTTAAATCGTAATAACATTTTTTACAATATTTTTGATTAAATGTAGCCTTGGAGCATAATAGAGTTCTTTTAAAAACATTAAAAAAAAATCTAAAAACCATTAAAAAATAAAAAACCAACCCCAAACTTTTGAACAGTAGTGGATCAAGAACTTTACTTAATTTGTGACCATTTTTATTTTATTTTTTATAGCTTTAGAGTCATGAAAATGTATTTTATTTATTTTTTCCTAGTTGTGTTTATTGCTGTTTTTTTGTTAAATGTAACACTGACATGTGCATTGAAGTCTCAAAATAAGTCAATAAATAATTACTCTTCAGGACATTTCTTATATGTAACCAAGCCGGACATCCTGACGAGTGATTGGACGTCTTTTCAAAGCCCTCTCCTGGCACCAACCAATGACACACATCCTTGCCGGGTATGTACAGTATAGTACCAAATACTTATTAAATGGAGCAGTAGCATGACAATAAAGGCACAACTTGAACTTAATACACTACTTTTTATCAGGATTGTAACCACATACGCAGGATTAGGGGACATCTCGGTGTCTATAGGCTTACACTTTACACCCATTGTCCATAATTACAGATGATAATGTACACACATCAGTTTGGCCGAGTGTCGGGCGGACTGTCTGTGTTGGTGGCTGGGACGGAGATTTATCCTGTGTGGGAACGTGGAGGTGCTCTTGGGGACTTATGGGTAAAGGCTGAGGTGGAGTTTGTTGTCAATAGCACGTTCCAGGTACTTGAACTCATTGCTCCTCTGACATCATCACTCTCAGAAGTTTCCTGCTTTTTTTATCACACAGCAGTCATAAATGCTGTCTTATGTATTGAACTTTCCCCAATCAGATACTATTTGTTGCTGCCATTCGAAACCATACGTATGGAGGGATCGCCATTGATGATATTGTGTTGTCTCCTGAGTGCATCTTATCCAATGATAATGGTACTCTCTGATTTTATGCCTGTCTACGTCGATTATACACCACAACTCTGCGTTTGCCAACACATTTGGCTGTAAATTTATAAAACAAGTCAATAGAGTGTTATTCTGTGTCATTGCCTTTTATACAGCATCAATGCCAGTATTTCCAAAGCCTCCCGCTAAACCTTGCATAGAGGACAGTCTAAAAATCTGTGACTTTAAAGAGGACTGTCCTGCTGGAGAAGATGAAGCTCAGTGTGGTGAGTACCACCTATACAATTATGTGTGTGTGTTAAGTGAATTTGCATGTTTGTTTTGGTGTATACAAGTGAGGGTCTTTGTTGTGTACATAGGGGACTTCTCATATGAGATGGGAAGCTCTGGCTGGACAGATACTAGTATAGGGAGCCAGGCCTGGGAGCTAGAAGAGTATAATGACACCTTCGTTCAAGGTAAAAACAACCAAAAAAATCTGTTTTTAGCATGATGGAATTAAGAAAATGCTAGATAATTGAATATAATTTGTGTATGTGTGTCAATAGAAGAGTTCCTGTTTGTGACTGGTGCTCCTGGGCAGCAGTTAAGTGAAGCTCAAACTCGTACCCCTCTCCTGGGTCCGTCAGGTCCAGCGTGCACCCTTCAGTTCTCCTACAGTCTCAATGGCAGTAACCCACACATAGGTACGACATCAGCTGTAATACACCTGTCTCTCCTCTGTTAGTTAGCGTGATATTAGACTATAGACTCTCTTCCTCTCTTTGCAGGTAAACTGGCAGTGTATGTTGTGGACAGTGTGTTTGGGACTCATGCTGTGCTGTGGAACTTTACTGGAAGGACCAATAAGATGGCAGGGACTTGGCTAAAAGAGGAAGTGTATGTTGGAGCAAGAGATAATCGCTTTCAGGTAGACTATCTATCTATCTATCTATCTATCTATCTATCTATCTATCTATCTATCTATCTATCTATCTATCTATCTATCTATCTATCTATCTATCTATCTATCTATCTATCTATCTATCTATCTATCTATCTGTATATATATATATATATATATATATAAATGTATGTGTGTCTGCATCTATCTATCTGTCTTTATCTATCAATCTATCTATCTATATGTCTATCTATCTATCTGTCTGTCTATCTATCCATCTATCCATCTATCTATCTATCTATCTATCTATCTATCTATCTATCTGTGTGTATATATATATATATATATAAATGTATGTGTGTCTGCATCTATCTATCTGTCTTTATCTATCTGTCTATCTATCCATCTATCCATCTATCTATCTGTCTGTCTGTCTGTCTGTCTGTCTATCTATCCATCTGTCTGTCTATCTATCTATCTATCTATCTATCTATCTATCTATCTATCTATCTATCTATCTATCTATCTATCTATCTATCTATCTATCTATCTATCTATCTATCTGTTTTAGTCTATTTTTTTTTCTTTCTTTCTCAGTTTGAGTTCATGGCCCATTCTGAAGCGCTCTCCCCAAGTAACCAGATTGCAGTGAAGGATGTGTACTTTGTTAACTGTTCTCCTCTGTATATCCCCTCTGGTGGTGAGTGGATACAAATCATTTTTTTGACACTATTTTTTGCATGGTTTAATTGTCTCTAAATGATTTGGTTGGCTAAATAAAATGATTTTTTTGCTTCATTATTGTTTTTCCTATAACAGATGTATCATGTAATTTTGAGGTAAATTTGTGCGGGTGGTCCCAGGACCAAACAGATAATTATGACTGGAAGCTTCATACTGGAATGGACCACACTGTCCATGATGGTCAGGAGACTTTTAATGTTGCTTAATTTTTAGTGAATTAAATTTGAACTTTATGTTATTTTATCATCATCATACAAACTCATTTCTCTACTCTTCTCTCTCTTTCTCAGGTAGAAGTCTGGTGGTGGATATGTGGGACACTTCATTGCGAGGTCTTTCTGGACGTCTCCTCTCAATCAGACAGTATATTCACACTGAGCACTGTCTGTCCTTCTTCTATAAACTCTACGGGCCAAACACAGGTGGATCTGAACACCGTTTTCCCAGCTTCATAAAATGTGATTTTCTCAGCCATTGTATGACCAGAAGGTCCTACTTCTTGTGCTGAGACACTGACTCAAACTTTATACTTAATTATAATTAATTTGTTTCATCATCCATCTTCTCTTTCCAAGGCACTCTCAGTGTAAAGCTGCTATTTGCTGATGGCTCAGAAGAGCTGTTGTGGATGCGCAGCGGTGCCCATGGTAACGTCTGGCATGAGGGCCATTGCCCTGTGCCTCCTCAGCTCTCTGCTTTCCAGGTGCACACAAAAGTTGTTTACACACCTAACGCATAATTGACAGCAAAATCCCCAGCAAAACACATGACTTTGCAAATGGCCACTACCACATATATTGGTTTAGAAGATTTGTATCGAATAAACTGACTGTGAAAAGGGATGTTTTAACAATTTCAGTATTAAATTTCTCTTCGAATTCCTTTAATGTTCTTGCCATTCATTTTTCTCGCTTATGTAGCTGGTGTTTGAGGCAACTCGCTCTGGTTTTGATGGTCAGTTAGCGTTAGATGATGTGGCGTTTGTGACGAGACCCTGTTCCTTGCCCACTATGTGCTCGTTTGAGAGTCAGACTTGTGGCTATACCAGTTCTACAAAAGCCAGGTGGATACACCAAAGCTGGGCAATACACAAAACTGGACCTGAGACCGACCACAGCCTGGAAACAAAAAACGGTAAGGGAAATTTGAAAATGAAAGAAAATTGGTGAGAAGTCTGAGCTAATTCGCTAAACTGTTGCACGGCAGTGTTTGTGATCCAGCTCAACCTTGTTTAGGATATAGATTACTAGCTATGTTTTCTATTTTATTTTAGCTGGATTAGTTTAAAGGAGTGATATAAAGTATGTTGTGACTAGGGTTCTACATGCTGGCCCACAGCGGTGTGGATGTCCTTCCATTGGGCAGTGTGACCACCTTGACCTCACCTGTGCGCAGAGGTTTGACTCACACCGAATGTGTACAATTCTGGTACCATACAGGAGGAGAAAAGTCAGGTAAGAGAACATGATCTCATATTTGTGTTGTGTGTACACACCTATTCATTTTCAAGTAAATACCATATGTATCCCCACACACAAAGGCACGCTGAATGTCTATGTGAAGCCATCTGATGGAGACATGATACAGATATTCTCTAGCAGTGTCGGGCAGGGACATGCCTGGCGTCATGGCCAAGGGAACATCAGCTGGCATGGGGACTGGCAGGTAAGTGATCTGCTGCCTTAGGCCGTTTAGCATTGTAAATGCCAAGGTATCGCAATTACACCTGTTTTGTTAGATTGTTATTTTTAATAAATGGTCTAGATGTGAGTATGGATGTGTGTAAAGATTTGAAGCATCTTTGTGATTCAGCTGCAGTTTGAGGTGAAAGGTGAAGGAGGCTTATTGAGTTTCATTGCCATTGATGACATCAGCTACTCGACCCACAGCTGCCCCACACCAGGTTTGAATTAAAATGTGAATTATAGTCAACATGAAATCAAAATTAACCCCATTTACTTTCACAAGCACCTTCTCCACCTACCTTTTATCTATAACTTGTCATATATATTGCATAAAATATTGACAATATACACTCACCTAAAGGATTATTAGGAACACCATACTAATACTGTGTTTTACCCCCTTTCGCCTTCAGAAATGCCTTCATTATATGATATTGGATTAGTTATTAGATATTGCATTAATGAGAAATTGAACAGGTGTTCCTAATAATACTTCAGATGAGTGAATATTCTACAGTTCAAATTTTGGGGACTGCAAAGTCTATTTTGCTCACCAAAGCAGCATTTATTTAATCAAAAATACAGCAAAAAAAAATAGTATTACAATTTAAAATAGCTTTTTTTCTAATTTAAGATTAGATAGATTATTGGAATTTCAGGTTGTTAAAAAAAGAAAAGAAAAAGTTCTAAATGAACAGCATTTAATTGAAATTTATTTTTTTTGTTACATTAGAAATGTCTTTACGTCACTTTTGATCAATTTACTGTATTCTTGCTGAATAAAATGTTAATTTCTTAAAAAAAAATCTCACTGGCCCCAAACTTTTGAACAATATTGTTTCTTTTTAATTATTATTATTAATAAATAAATGTGTGTAATTGAATACATTTATATTATTGTTCATTATAATAAATATTCTTATTATATGTTGTTGTTTATTATTACATCTCTAAAATAGCTTAGATTTTAGTTTTTGTTTTGTTGTTGTTGTTTGGTTATTTGTGTTTGTGTGCATTTCAGATAGAGTCTGTGATTTCGAGAAAGGTTTCTGTGGTTGGTCCAACACTCAGAATGCATCTTTAGACTGGTTAGACTGGGACCTGACCAGTGCGCAAGCTGAGAAGTTCTACAGCACACCAGCATATGACCACACACTGTACACAGAGGAAGGTAATTCATGCGCTTTACGCTCATACTAAAAAGTGTTTGATGCTAAGTAGAGAATGTGAATACTCATTGTCACAGCTTTAATTATTTTGAGGAAGTGGATGTAATTTAGTCTCCTTTATAACTCCAGGACACTTTCTGGTCCTTCCTAACTCCCAACGGGACACCGCTAATCGGAATGCCTGGCTGCTGAGCCCTCACCTGCCACCAACCAAAGGAACCTGCCTGAGTTTTTGGGTTTATCAGCCAACCATATGTATGCCACATCTATATCTGCAAATTCATCAGTGGAATAAATTATTCCTATAAATTATTAATACATTTTAAACTATATTAAAATAGAAAAGTCTTTTTACTGTATTTTGGATCAAATGATGCAGCCATGGTGTCTTCTTTCCAAAACATAAACGGCAGCAAATATCTTATCAAAAAAATCTCTCTGGCAATTATACAGCTTATTTGATCCATTTAATAATGATTATTTATATTGCTTTCTTCTGAAGATGACAGCAAACTCATAGTATGGAGGCTGTCTGAAGAATCCAAACAAGAATTACTGATTCTGGATGAGGGAGGTGGAAACTGGAAATACTTTAGTGTCAATTTCACCTCAGAAACCGAGTACCAGGTGAGCAAACCCTACTTTATTCAATGTTCTTATTGGTTCTGCATGAATTTGAGTTTGATTATACTGATTGTGTTTGTGATTTAATGGGAGGCAGATTGTACTAGAGGGAATTAAAGGAGAGAAGGGTTTTCTTGCCCTGGATGACGTGCGGTACACGGTTGGGGTGAACTGTGCTGGACAGAAGAATGACCAAAGTAAGAGTTCTTCATCTAGCAAGAATTCTTCAAATTAGTCTTTACCTTAGTGTCATTCCGATTCTTTATATATTCTTGTTACCATTATACCTTCAAGTATGTGTGAAATGGAAAGCGATAGGTGTGAAAACCTTATATATAGTGATGCAGGAAAATCATGACATCTTTATATTTACAGCCTCATCATCTGACAACACAGGAACCACTGTGGCCTCTGTTGTATTCGTCATTCTGCTCTTACTGATTCTCGCTGCCTTGTTTGTGTTCTACCTGAAGACTAAACACAATGCCAATGCCTCAGTGGATACCTCAAACGAATCTCATGTAACCTGCACTGGCTTTGGCAATGAACTGTATGGTTCTGGAGATGCTGTAAGTTACCTGGCTGTACATGTTCTTTTGTGTGTGTGTGTGTGTGTGTGTGTGTGTGTAAAAGCTTAAACCTTAGGGATAGTTCCCCAAACAAAACCAAAAATTCAGACATTATTTACTATGGAAGCCATTCTGACTTGTTTTCTTGCAGTTGCGAGTTTACATCTCACAATTCTGAGATTCTAAGTCATCAGAATTGCACGATATAAAGGAATATTTATTTATTTTTTTAATCTGATATGTTTCACAGATGCTATAATACGACGATAGTTTTATGGTGATTTTGCATCATTTTTTTTAAGCTTGAAAGCTCCAGTCCCCCATTCAGTGTTATTGCATGGAAAAGAACGACCAGTAAATTCTTCAAAATTTCACGTTTTGTATTACACAGATTAAAGAAAGCCAAATGGGATTACTGTAATCTCTAATAATCTAAACTGTGTGTATATTAAAATCTCTTTTTGTGTGTTTGCTGGTTACAGCAATATCCCGATGAGGGGCATGAGGATACAAGGCCGTAGGAGATTATTGTGGTGACTGTGCCACCAACTGGCAGCCTTCAGGCAAAACAGCTGACATCACTGCAGGAGAACTGCTTGTGTCGGCATGGCAGGACTAGCCCGGTTATAACACATGCAAAACAACACCAACATGGTCACACTGATGCTAACCAAAAAATTTCATCACAGGATAAAAATGGCATTATCCAAACAAGTAATCCAATTAAATGCAATTTAATATATGATATACAATAAACTACTGTCTTAGAGGCTGTGGTATTTGATGTCCATAGCATAGATTGTTAAATTGTTCGATTGTTTTTGTGGTTTAAGTGGTTTGGGTTCATCATGGCTATCCTCACTAAAAGATCTAGCCTGTGGATGGTCTTTCACTTAATGGATTCTCTCTACTGCAGAATAACAGAGATTTATGCACAACATTTTTAGGAGTACAACGTAGTTTTGTTATGGTAAAAATTTAAATAAATAAACTATTTGAGGTTCCTTTTGTAATGCCGGTATAGAATAGCCTATACGGTTTATATTAAAAACTTTTTAAAAATGTAATTAAATTATATATTTTATTACCATTGTATTACCATATCATTGAGTATTCATTTAAAAAGTGTATAATGCGATTAATAGAAATATTATTTAACAGATTATCTCAATCAAAGGATATCTTAATTTATTAATAGTATTGAGACATTTCACACTTTCTCTCTCTTTCTCTCTCTCTCTCTGTGTGAGAGTGTGTGTATTAAAGGTTTACAGTTCATTTATCAATAAGCTATTATTAGAGTGATTGTCTTTTGCCGTCTGTCTGATTTTTTTTAAGTACTACAAAAAAAACATGAAAATTGGTTATAGGCAGAGTTTTGTACTCCTTCAGAAATGCATAATTTTGCTGTAAGCTAAATTTCCTATTTGTCGTTGTTTACACTTTGTTTTTGTTTAGTTTTTTTCACGAGGAATGACTTGTATGCGGGGTTCATATCATAGACATGGTATAGACCCCTTTTAGTAAACATTGTGATGTGACGTCGGCGTAAAAGGGGCACTACTGTTACTGAATTACGAGGTCTCTTGGCAACGGCGATGTCTCCACGGCAACATCATCCCCCTGATCCGTCTGTCGAAAAGCTCAATATGATTTAATTCAAGCAACACAAAGCTCACTCTACGTCAACAGTAAAAGGTGAAAATCTTTGCTTTGTCACAATTAAAATTCGGATTATCAAGTCAGTGATGGGGAGTAAAATGCCGCTGTTTATGAATTATTTTTGAAGCGCGAGACAGGGGCAGTGACTCGTGGAGCGGTGGATGGATAACAAACGTGCGCGTGTGTGAGATTCAGTGACCCTGTTGCTAAATTCCGTGCGACCCACATTGCTGTGCAAAAACCTGTCAAATACCTTACCGGCAGGATGGACGCGGGGGTGCTTATATTTTTACTATACGTCATGATAGCTCACGAGCTGGTGTGTGGACTGATGCAGTACAGGAGACAAGCAGCCAAGCCACATAAACGCCTCATGTGGACCTCTGGGTAAGATGTTTAAATATGCTTTTTTACCTGTCACAATCACTAAAAATGTTCCCCACGTGAACCTGACCAAACTTTATTTAAGAGTTTTTTTTCCATATGCCTTAAAATGTTTGGTTTTGTTACCACAGGCACATTTAGGTAATCTCTACATTTATATTACTACATTTTAAATGCATTGTTTCGCTAATGATCACATATTTGGGTCTTTAGCGCTATGCTCTACCGATAATATAAAACTATTAGAGAACAATTACAGAAGAATTAAAAAAAGCATATTTTGTAACCTTTTTGATTATGTTTAGTGCTTGCTCTGCAGTAAATCTCTGAGCCATTTCAAGTTACGCTGATGATAATTCCTATTCTTTTGTTTTATTGCCTGTGGTAACTATGAGTGTAACTTCACTTCATCATTGTGTATCAAACATTGCTTCCTTGTAGAATAAATGTGAATTCCACTTGTTCCGTCATCAAAGATCCAATTGTTGTTGTGCAGAAAAAATATATACTTACACCATTTCCTAGGGTAGTTAACACCCTATAAAATTTTCACACAAAAAATATAAACATTTTTATACATTTTTTGTGTATAATGGAGAAATACTAAGAAGAATGTTGATGTCTAACTTTAAAAAAAATCAATGAGGAGGAGGCCAGTGAATGACGTCCCAGGTTACTAAAGACCTGAGGTATGTGTTAAGGTGTTAATATTCATTTCACACCGTTACAGTACCATAAAACACAAAACAGTCCCTATTTAGACAGCAATTAAAATATGTGCATATGATATACCTTCATAACTGTCTGTGTTGTTCTTACTCTTTCCCACAGTGCTCGTGTCTGTCATGGAACGTGGCGAGTCAGTAGCCAGCCGGTCCGGTCAGGGAGACGAGACTCAAAGAAATCTGGGCGTATTGTCAGGAAAGCATGACATGAGAGTTGCTTTGGACATATGATCCATAAATGTGATTCTTAATCATCCATCCTGCACTGTGATCATCACTCAATGAAGCTATGCTGGACCGCTCACTGCCATTCACGATTATGTGGTAACTGCAGCTGTGATGCTCAAAGTTTACAGTTTTCCTTCTCACTGTAATTCTGAATATCTTTTCTTAAAGGGATAGTTCACTCAAAAATGAAAAAATTCTCTCATCGTATATAGGCCTACTCATGTCTTTCTTCAAATAAACATAAATGAAGATTTTTACTAAAATAATCCTTCTCTATGTGTCCAAGTGAATGGTTGCTGCTTGGTTGACGCTTGTAAAACCACACACAGGCTGTGTCCGAAATCTCCACACAAACCACTACTCCCTACCTCCTACGTAGGGGGTAGGGAGTAGAGCACTATATAGTGAGCTCACCAGCATAATAGAAACACCACTTTCGGACACTACTCAATCGTCTCTCAGCGCCGTTGATTACGTTATTTCTGTCGCCCGTCCGTCTTTTTTACAATCAGCGCAATGCAATTTTTTGTTAACATTTTACCATATGTCTTGGAGTATCACAATAATATCGTATTGTGAGTTCAGTATCGTGATATGTATCGAATCGTGACATGAGAGTATAGTTACACCCCTAGTCATACAGGTTTAGAACAGCATGAGGGTTGATTTTTTTTTTTTTTTTTTTGGGTGGCCAATCCCTTTAAGAATGTTTGTGTAATTTGAAAGCTGCTATTTTATTTCTTTAAACTGAGTATATTGCCTTGAGTTGTGGTAGCCAAAAGCAAGGTTCAGTCGCAACCTGAGGTGATCTGGGAGCTCTGAACAATCCCAATCTGATATCACTGGTCACTTTAATCCCGAATCACTTTTGATCAAAACCTTTTGGTAAATGATGTCAAAACAAGTTTGCAAATATAATTTGCATGTTTTTTCTGCATATTGTTTAAAACAAAAAAGCTATTTCTTGTTTTAGATGTAACAAGTGTTAACCAGTGTGTGAAGGACGTTAATTAAACACGCACTTAATGTTAGTAGTAATGTTTTTTTGTTTTTTCACATTTGAGGCATTCACCAAGCTATTTTTATACATTTTACCATTGTTCTTTTTAGATTTGTATCACCAAAAATATTTGAATTGGCTCTTTAATATGTTAAGCAAGTATAGTTATTTTGCTTTTATTGTTTTATTATCAGTATGAACCACCTGGGTTACATATTTCATTTTAAGGTTACATGGTCAAGATCATCTTGTGCCACGTCATTTTTGTTTTCTGCCTGTAGATGTGCCAAAATGTCACAATGGAGACTGGATGAACAGGTTGCTTCACATTTTAATTTTACCAGAAGTAGACTATATAGACACCCAAACATCCATATGTATTTATACAAAACATTTAATTTCAAAAACACTGACATTAATAAAAAGCTGAAACTTTTTTAATATCTCATGAGAAGCTTTTCACTAGATTTTGGGACATGGCTGAAGGGATTTGCTCCCATTCTTACACAAGAGCTGGTATACCAGCAAATCAGTAACAACAACAAAATAATAATAATGGTAAATGTATAAAAACAAAATAAAAAATAATCGTGATTTTAACGGTAAAAGACTGTAAAAATGCTACAGTGCAAAACTGTTAATTGGTTAACATACTATATACAGTAAATAACTATGATATAATTTTACTGTGAAATACCGTTAAATTTACAGTTTTTGAAAGTGAAAAAGAAAAGCTCATTGTATAATTTACAGTGAAAAAAACGTAAATTGAGATTCCCACAATTCCTTGTGTGACACTTCACATTTTATGTATTTTTGTTGAAATAACTGGTTCCTCATAGTTTTCTTGTTTTGTTTTTTTTTGTAATTAGTCACATTAGGGTTTTAAGTTACATTTAATGTTAAATTAATGTTTATGGCATTTTTTTGCATCTTTCATCTTTACATAAGTATTAACGTTCTAATGGAAGACTACTTGTGATGAGCTTTGAATGCTAATGTAACTCTCACCACTGTTGTGATGATTGTTGGTTGTCATTGTATTACAATGGTGCTAAACAGATCAATTTTTCAAAAGGTTGGTAAATCAACATTTAATCGGAAAATGAAATACATTTTATTACTGTAAATTTTAAGTTAAGTCTGTAAAATCAATAACGTTCCTACCGTATTTTTAACTGTAAAGTTCTGGCAAGCTGCTGTTTTTTTTTTTTACTGTAAAAATTACAGTTGTATTTTTAGTGTATACATAAAACATACAATATCTATACATACATAATACAAAGACACATACAAACAGCTACATAAACATACATAAAAAAATACACTCTGTTACCCACACCTAGGTGTGTTACCCACACCTAAAATGTAGGTACAATTTGTTCCACGTCACCAAAATTGCCTTCTTATTGCATAACCTTGTTGGACTTGGATTTAATACACAAAGGTGATAGAGAGTGATCTATTCACAACTTTATGAAATTAGCTGAAAATTAGAGTTGATGCACTTTATTTATTTATTTATTTATTTTCATAAACACTTCCTTAATGTTTTTTAAACTGGTTTTGCCTGCTCATAGGTAACTTGTGGCAATAAGACTTGTGATTCCTTTTAGTGAATGAAAAGACCCATTAAAAGAGGTTGTGAACATTATGTCTGTTCTGCAAACAAGCAGTTATAGTTTGCTTCATGACGTGCTTGCAGGGGTTTGAATAAATCAGCTTTACTAATCAGCTTTTTTTACAGCAAGTGTCTGTTCATATCAAAGTAAAAAGCTCGGTTCCTCTGTGTCTTTATTTTGCTGATGTCTCTTTCCAGTGGGAAAAAAAAATCCTCTCATTAAATGTAGTGTTTAATTGTGTGCAGGAGAGCTGAGGTGAGAAAACGGTTGAGTAGATTTGAAAATACTGCCATGCACAATTCTTCATTGCCTCAAGAGAACTATATATTGTATATTCAGCCTAACTTAATACATATACAATAAAATACCTGGTAACCAGAAAGAAAATAAAAACAGTTAATGAATAAAAACAACTCGATAGTACGATAAACTAAGCAGCTGCATTGTAGCAATTACAGGTTGCATTCATGGTTGCATTCGTGTGTAATGACTCATTTTGTTTTGTCATCACAGAAACAAAACTATGAAGGGAAATCACGCCCATCTTATGTTTAATCTCTCATACGACATAAAAGTTTCCTTAAACTCAACTGTTTCAGCACACAGTCCTCATTCTTCATGCTAGAAGAGGAACGATTACATCATATACGCTTGTCTGAGTAAGTATTATGGTACTTTAATGAGCAGTAAAACATTTCTTGGCTATTCACTGTGTAATTAAATAAAATATAATATTTTGATAATATTTATTTGTAAATTTGTAAAATATAATCAACAGTCTAAATGCTATCGTTATATTAAATTGCATTGTAAAAAAATTGTTAACTATTTCAGAGTATTTATTTATATATATATCCATACAAATTTGTGGATAAAGTATTGACAAAAAGTACAATTTAAAGGTTTTTAGATTCAGATTTGTCCGAATTTATTATTCATTATAATAAATATGTTTAAATAATTAGAATTAATATTTATATTTTAGTAAACAACTACATTGACAGCGTAGTCTACTTGTTTTGCTTCTCCAGATACATACTGTAAATCTGGTCCAGTATGTCTTGCGTATCTGACAGCTCCAGCCTCAACAAGGCACTGCGGCACCAGTATCTGAGTCTGCCACAGGGACACTTCTGTCAGGTCACTTACGTCTGGATTGATGGCTCTGGGGAGGGTCTGCGCGCCAAGACTCGAACCATGGATTCGGAGCCAAAGAGCATAGCTGGTAGCAAAGTTTCAGTTTTACCTGACCAGTTTCACTTTCTTTGTTTTTATCTCCAGCAACTTGTTAATGCTGGTTTTTCTTGTTCTTTGGCAGATCTGCCGGAATGGAACTTTGATGGTTCCAGCACAGGCCAGTCTGAAGGACGCAACAGCGACATGCTACTGATTCCTGTCTGCATGTTCAGGGACCCCTTCATTTTGGACCCAAACAAACTGGTCCTGTGTGAAGTGCTCAAGCACACCAGGGAACCTGCAGGTATGATTGTGAAACTGTAATTTTTTATTTTTTTTTTTAAATCATAAAACAATGCTAAAGATTTACTAATTGTAGTTTTTGATTTGCCATATTCAAAAGGAGCACAAGCAATGCATCTCAGTGCAGTTTATTTATTTATTATTGCTTAAAGTATAACAGGTAAATTGGATTAAATTTTTTTTAGTTCATGTAGGCCTGTATTGAAAAAATATGATATTCAGTCTCATTCACCTGCTTCCCAGCATGCACTGGTGCATTAATAATGAATATTCCATTGTTTGGCAGTTTGCTAGTTTCATGTACATTGTTACGGACAAATTTGGAAATGTATTTTCACTGTAAAAAAAATATTTTCATGATTTGTTATCACAACATTTTTTCTTTTGTCAAATCAACTTGGATAATTGATGTAGTTCAGATAACATAATATTTTGAGTTTCTAATGATTAAATTAATCACCTTCATTGTATTAACTCAATTTTTCCATTTCAATGAACTTAAAATTAAAAGGCAACCAGGTTACTTATTTTTTAAGTTAAACCAACAATATTTTTTTACGGTGTTCTTACCTATTTTCAGGATGAGTTTGTTCCTTAACTCAAAAATGATTACTTGATGATTGCAAAATGATTGTTACTGCTTCACGTAATCACTCTTTAAGTTTGTTTACCATACAGAATGCGTATTCGAATTTTATATTGGACACAGTTCTTTCAACTTGTTGATAAAAGGAGCAGATTTGGTTAATCGAAGTAGTTATTGTTAAAATTAGAGCAGATTTAAGTCATGCAACTTGACATTTTAAGCTCATCGAAAGGCATTTAAGTTTATGAAACAAATTCAAAAATAAGTCATGCAAACTGTTGCCTTATTTGTAATTTAAGTTCCACAAGCACCCTATTTTTTTAAACGGATTTTAAAATTGACTGAAAAAATGTTTTAAGATGTTAATGGGTTAGTACACATCAGGTCTTGATTACTGATACTGCTCATATAAAGACAAAGCTATTTGCTATCTTTTAAAGTTGTGTAAAACTGTAGATGATTTAAACCCTGGTTCATCTGTTGTCTTAGAATCGAATCACCGTAACAGCTGTAACAAGGAAATGGAGAAGGTCAAAGATCTCCACCCTTGGTTTGGTATGGAGCAGGAATATACTCTACTAGGTGTGGATGGACATCCTTATGGCTGGCCCAGACTAGGCAACCCCAAACCACAAGGTGATCTGAATGTTATCATGAGTTGTTACATCCACAGTCTAGGTTAAGGGTGCAACATGAAACCTTATAATCCAATGGGAAAGTCTTTGGTTTTAAAGGTGCTTTGTGGGATATTTTGAATAACCACACTTACAATGTCTGTATAGCTGTGTAATTAGTATAATTGAGATAACATTATATTTATTCAAATTTTAATAATACATTTTATTTGTAAATTTCAATTTGTTACACTTTGTTGTGTTCAAATATGCCTGTATTGTTTGTATTCATTTGTTTATTTCATCAAATTTTGTACATGAAGTGAAATAAATGCTGCAACTAACTGAAATAAAACAAGTTTAAATAGTTGTTTCTTACATTTGTTAAATGTTTATTTGATTTCAAGTGACATTTAAGTCTCAGTACCTGATAGATGCCCAAAACAAAACAAATTTGTGTGGCTTTCTGGTCCACACTCTTTTAGCCAATCAGAAAACTCTCTGCCTGTGACTCATTTTACTGTACATTTTCAGGTTTGTTGACATTTATTAAGAGAGTTTTTATGACAATTTTGTGTCTCTCTTCTGTCAGGTCCGTATTACTGCAGTGTTGGCGCTGACAGAGCCTTTGGCAGAGACATTGTGGATTGTCATTATAAAGCCTGTCTTTATGCTGGGATCAAAATCAGTGGCACTAACGCAGAGGTCATGCCCTCTCAGGTAACTACCATGAAGTTATTAGGTAGAGATACACTATTTATTTACAAAAAACACAACATCTGTGTGTATATCTCTCTCTGCAGTGGGAGTTCCAGGTGGGTCCATGTGAAGGAATTGAGATGGGAGATCATCTGTGGATGGCACGTTTCCTGCTACACAGGGTGTGTGAAGATTTCGGAGTGCTGGCCACCCTGGATCCAAAACCCATGACAGGAGACTGGAACGGAGCCGGTTGCCACGTCAATGTGAGCACAGTGCAAATGAGAGAAGAAGGAGGAATTGAGTATGTACTCACTTATGCCAATAGACAAATATAAAAGTATGAGTTGTGTCACAGTGTTATTGCCATGTCATCTAACCTCCATCGTCCTACTCTCATCAGGCACATTGAGAAAGCCATCGAGAAACTGAGTAAGCGACATGTAGAGCATATTCAAGTCTACGACCCACGCGGTGGAGAAGATAATAAGCGTCGCCTCACGGGTCATCACGAGACCGCCAACATCAGTAATTTCTCAGCAGGTGTTGCTGACCGCAAGGCGAGTGTCCGGATCCCTCGTCAGGTTGGTCAGGATAAATGTGGTTATTTTGAGGACCGCCGTCCTGCCGCCAACTGTGACCCATATGCCGTGACCGCCGCAATAGCCCGCACATGCATGCTGGAAGAAGGCAAAGATGTTCATGAACAGGAATAACACACCTTTGGAAACAATTCATTATTGTGAATTTATAAGCAGAGGGCACATTAACCTGTTATATTTGTCTCTTGTTATTACTCTAAATTAAAATTTTTATCTGAAGAATGTTTTATGGCATGACTTGCAGGCAGGCTTGAAATGCTGTATCAAATGATCATACACTTTAGTTTGTCATTGTCAACATACATACTTAACTATTCCTGCAATCAACACACCAAGTAAATTCGAAATAGCACTAGGCTGGCACTCAATTAATGATGTCATTCACCTGGTTCATCATCACAATTTTCAGACAGGAGGAAGTCCCATTTTTGCCTTGCATATGCAGATTTATGCTCATGGCCTCATCAACTTGCACCTATTATAAACTTAATAGTATCGTGACCACATTCAAAGTTATTTTAAAGATCTTTCACAGTTGCAGAACAAAGGAACTCTTTACATTTTTCTGTCCATCAGGTCTTGAAAGGTATCAGCAGGAACCTTCTAACTTAGGCTAGTTGTGTTCCAGACTGTGAAATTTGTTCAAGCATTTGGACAAGACAGACTCGGTGTGCAAGGACCTCAAGTCAGGAATGGTCAGAAATCGTAAGGTCCCGAATGATCTGCTCCCTGCTCCATTCTTAGGGCCTTTGGTTTGATCTATCCTGGACAAAGATTTGAGGTAACACCAGACTCCACATTAAGCAAAAGCCAATTCAGAAATAATAAATACATAACATGGAAGAGTAAAAAATGCACCTGACAGAGGCACACAGTTGTGTGTGTGTTCCTTTAGCACAAGCACTGCATGGGTTTTTTCTGGTTCCGCCACTTTCCCTTAACAGACCAGACCAAAAGGATTTTACAAATAAAAAAGTTATTTTGAGTCTATTCATGCACCCCAGGGCGTTACACCTGGTTTCAGGGGAGAGGAGAGCATTGCCAGATCTCTTGATGAGACACCACCCAAAAAGGAGAACAGGATTTTCAATTTTCAATCTTTCTCATAAAACCTATGACTGCTATAAAACTTTGACCATTTTACCAATCGCACTTAACATTTAAAATGATACCAAACGTGAAAAGGAAAAAAACAATTTTCACATAATACATCATATGTGAGATACATACGTATAAATTCAGTGACTTCAATCAGGGAGAAAGGAAGGGAGTTGGAGAGGAAATGCATAGATAAATGAGGAGATTCGTTTGGGTGAGGCGGTGTCTTCTCTACTTGGGTTTGTTTTATTGTTTTACTGAGGAGGGGGTTTGATCTCAGTTTTTGTCTTAGTAGGAAAAACAATAAACTGTCTGTTGAAATCTCATATCGTCACCCACATTCTCATTGCATTGCTCATTCTTACGTGTTCTTTTCAAAGTCGAAGTATTTGTTGTTTCAGTTGTGGTGTCCATTGTAGTGGACGTAAAAAATCGAATAAAAAAATGAGTTGGCAAAAATCTTGTTTTTTAGATTAATTTCTCCATTGAAGAGGAGTAAAAATCCAGCATCATATTTGTATATTATAATACTTATATTTTTTAAAGACCGGAAATCACTTTTGGCCACTACTGTATGTTTCCGCATACTGCTGTTCAAATGTTTTGGGGTTTTGGAAAATAAAATGTTTAGTTGGTAATACAGTAAAAGGTAATATTTTGTGTGTGTGTATTGGTGTCACATGATCCTTCAAAAATCATTCTAATATGCTGATTTGGTGCCATTCAAGAGGATTTAATGAAAGTCAGTGGGTCCAGTGTGCTGAAATACAATGCAGCAGTTTTAATAAGAATGGCAGTTCTAAGGTTGCATGTAAATGTTGAGGACCTCCTACAAGTGACAGAAGATATATTCCATGTGGATCTTAGTTGTCACACCAGTCTCAAAAAACAAGAGAGCGAAAAGGGACCAACAGACGAAGCATATTTATATTTTCTTTTGGATTTATTGCATTATACAGTATGTCTTGCGCATCTGAAAGCTCACATCTTAACAAGTTTTTGCGGCAGAGATACCTCAGTCTTCCCCAAGGAGACTTTTGTCAAGTTACTTATGTTTGGATCAGTGGTTGTGGTTTGGACCTGTGTAGCAAGACTCGAACTATATATTTTGAGCCAAAAGTCATAGCTGGTACAAGAGAAATATCTCCATGGTTTCTTGTGATTTTCATTCATGCTTTGTTTTTTTTGTTTTTTTATACTTTTCTTTCTTTCTGTTTGGCAGATATACCAGAATGGGATTTCAGTCAGCAAGGAACCTGCAATGAAATGCTTCTGGCTCCAGTCTGCATGTTTAGAGACCCCTTCCTTTTGGACCCTAACAAACTGATTCTTTTGTGAGGTGCTCGAGGAGACCTGGGAACCTGCAGGTAAAACAGGCTGAAATCATGTGACGAAACGTATAAAATTACTTCTAAGACATTGGGTTATTTATCTTCTACTTCAGCATCGTTAATGTTTACATTTATGTAAATGTAGTAAAACTACATACTGATCAAAATATCACATTTTTATTTCTTTCTCTTAGAATCGAATCACCGTAACAGCTGTAACAAGGAAATGGAGAAGGTCAAAGATCTCCACCCTTGGTTTGGTATGGAGCAGGAATATACTCTACTAGGTGTGGATGGACACCCTTATGGCTGGCCCAGACTAGGCTGCCCCAAACCACAAGGTGATCTGAATGTTTTTATGAATTGTTGTTACATCCGCAGGCTTGGGTGAAGGTCCAACTTGAAGTATCAGTAAACATTAATACTGTAATTCCTCACTAACATAACAGTAAATGTGGTGGAGACAACCACTGTAAAACTCTTTACATTCGATTATCATGAAAACAAATCTCAGAGAACGGTTGACTAGGTACCAATGTGTAATTAGACCAAAGGTTCATTTTGCGCCGGAGTTCTCCTTTAAGATGCTGAGGGACAGATATTGGTTTTAAGATACAGATTAGTAGTATGCATCAAAGTCTTTTATGGCTCATGTCCTGTAATTTGTATTTTGTCAGGTCTGTATCAGTACAGTATTGGTGCTGACAGAGCCTTTGGCAGAGACATTGTGGATTGTCATTATAAAGCCTGTCTTTATGCTGGGATCAAAATCAGTGGCACTAACGCAGAGGTCATGCCCTCTCAGGTAACTACAATGAAGTTATTAGGTAGAGATACACTATTTATTTACAAAAAACACAACATCTGTGTGTATATCTCTCTCTGCAGTGGGAGTTCCAGGTGGGTCCATGTGAAGGAATTGAGATGGGAGATCATCTGTGGATGGCACGTTTCCTGCTACACAGGGTATGTGAAGATTTCGGAGTGCTGGCCACCCTGGATCCAAAACCCATGACAGGAGACTGGAACGGAGCCGGTTGCCACGTCAATGTGAGCACAGTGCAAATGAGAGAAGAAGGAGGAATTGAGTATGTACTCACTTATGCCAATAGACAAATATAAAAGTATGAGTTGTGTCACAGTGTTATTGCCATGTCATCTAACCTCCATCGTCCTCCTCTAATCAGGCACATTGAGAAAGCCATCGAGAAACTGAGTAAGCGACATGTAGAGCATATTCAAGTCTACGACCCACGCGGTGGAGAAGATAATAAGCGTCGCCTCACGGGTCATCACGAGACCGCCAACATCAGTAATTTCTCAGCAGGTGTTGCTGACCGCAAGGCGAGTGTCCGTATCCCCCTACATGTGGCTCAGAAAAAATGTGGTTATTTTGAGGACCGCCGTCCTGCCGCCAACTGTGACCCATATGCCGTGACCTCCGCAATGGCTCGCACATGTATGCTGGAAAAGGAGGAAGAATTGAAATAATGGAATTTTGGAAACAAATAATGGTTGTTTACAATGTTAGAATGAATACTCGTTTAATATTGCATATACTTAAATCTTTACATTTAAGGATTTAAACAAAAATCAATAAAATAAAGATCAATATAATATAACAATACATTTACCAAAACTTGGCTTGAATTCTATCACTGATGACCATAATAAAACATTATCTGGGAACACTTGCAATCGTTAGCCTAGACTTACAAAAGTTTCATAAATTAGCTAACTAAAGACTAAAGAAAGAATAACTAGGCCTACTAAAGGATAACTAAAGAATTTGTTATTACTAAAATTATATCTATTTTTAACTGTTTAAATGACATTAAGACATCACCATCAAAGAAATGCTCCAACAGTGTACTTCCTTTTCTAATAATGCTGATTAGAGCTAATAATAGCCTTCTCTGCCTGGTAGGTTTTTATTAAATAATCCCCTATAAACATCCTTATTCTGATCCGTATGGTCTATATTTTTTTTTTTTCAAATGCTGAGATATCAGATTCTAGTCCATTCAATTTGGATTTTTTTTTTTTTATTGTATTATTCCTATAGTATGCAATACAATGACCCCTAAGATATACGCCTTTAAAGTGTCCCATATTGGAACAGGAAAGTTTATTCGTAGAAGTAAAAATATTGTTTTGTTCTCCAATAACTTTTTGGATTTAGCCTTCACCTAAGTTCGTCCTGTTTTCTCTGGGATGGACAGTGATATTACAACATCCAGCACACGGTAAAAAAAACTTGGGTGGATAACAAATAATAATACGTGTTTGTGTATCATGGGGATGTAAATAAAAAGAGTAGCCTAATCTCTAACCTGTGGATGTCCATGCCTCTAGACATCTGTTAGGTTTAAATCTTTCATAAAAGAAGTAGATTTGAGCCCGTTCTCATCCCAAGGCGACTTTTTCCAAAGCGTAGACACCCAACGAACATTGCACCCTTTAGCGTCAAATGAGACGCAGATATGGGGCAGAAGGCGCCTCCTAGTGGTCTAACCCTAACCCTATCCCATAGCCTACCTAAACCTACCATAACCGAAGCGTCTCATTTGACGCTAAAGGGTACCATGTGCGTCGTATATGACGCCTTGGGATGAGAAGTCGTTGTAGATTTAGCTGCTTTAGAAAGAGACAATGGTCTGGATGAAGATCCATCAAGTACATTGTCGAGACAAAAGTAAAAGTCACCACCTACCAATACAAGAGTGAGCCTGATGATTGAGCGATTTGAAGGAAAACATTTTGTAAAAACAAGTTATCATCAATATTTGG